TTGGTTCCAACTCAGAAGCAGGTTTATTTAGAAACAGGCAATGAAAATTTTAGACAAATGTCTTATGTATATTAATCAAATATTAAAGGATATAAAAATATCTTCACAATTTAAAATCATGGTTTACAAGTAACAGATTAGTTATAGAAAGCAAAATAAAACAAAAAATATATATTATAGATTCAGCCATTCCAACATCTTGTCCTGTTGTAGCCTTGACCTTGTTCATGTCATTCAATCACATCAAATTGTGGCGTTAATGTAATGAAGTAATGATTTGTTTTTTTAAACTTGTACTGACAGACATTCCCTTTTCTCTATTTTGCACACACAAAGATTCACAGTTCTTAAAACCACAGTTGCAAATTCACATATGCTAACCTAAATTGTGTACACACTACCTTGCTTTACCTTTGAATTTGGGGTTGCATTAAATGCAGTCTGGTATCAATTTACAATCTGTCCTAAATTGAATATCACATCATTCAAACTTGTACTAAACGTGGCCTATCTGTGTTTGTAATTGGTAAGAAAGACCATGCTGAAAGATGCATGAAATGTAATGAAACAAGAAACAAAACATACATACAAACACATATTAAACCATTGCTTAAAAAAAAAAACACCTGTCTTGTTAGAACTAACAAAAAGTGAATAAACTGGAAAGTGCAACCTCAGAAATGTAAGTACATTAAATTAATAGATCATGATTCTCCTAATAGTCCTGATTCAAATTTATGGAATAGTAATTCTAATGAACAACTAATCCTTTAGTCCATGGGTGGATAAGCAGCTAACCCACACAAGCAGCACAGAAGTTCTATCTTTAGAAAAATCTGTTTCAGTTGTTACAAAGCTTGTATTTTATCTGACAAACCTCTGAATATACTATGGTAACTTTCAAGGTTAAAAATTTGTCCTGCTTACTCTTCCATATTGCGGATGGGAATAATTGAATTACAATATAAAAAGTAGCTTAGAATTGTTTTCCAGAAGTTTAAAATGTTTTTCCCCTCACTTGAATGGTTATAATAAACATAAAACACAAGGAAAAAAATTTATAGTCTGCAATATTATTTTAGGAATATTCATGGCAATTAGCATATTGAATCATTTGAAATAAAGTACCTCATTTTATTCTAAAATATGTAGAGAAAATGTGTTGACTAGATTCTGTACTTTATTACTACAACAGTACATATCACTTTGTAAGAGGGGTACTTAAGTTTATTCATCTGCAGAAACATAACTAATTAACTGTTAGTTAAAATCTGTTTTTTTTAGTTATGGAGAAAATAATAAAATTTATCCTTCAAGCTTACTTTGAACTTAGTTCAGTTTGTAATAATGTTCCACAATCAAAATATGCTTAGGAGAAAACTACCGGTAATATATTAAAAGAATCAAATTATTCATAGGTTTGTCTCAAATGACACCAAGCTCTATGTGATAATAAAAACACAGCAAGTTATTGATGCTGGTTTTTCTTTCTTAAAATAATATGATAAGGAATAGAAAAGTGGAACATAAACAGTCTATGATATAGAAAATTAATTGCTAAATTATACACATTGAAAATAGCGATAGTCATGTCGTTGAGATTGCATTCATGTTGTTATAGACAGCTCAGTATTTGTAAGATGGCTATCACAACATTGAAAACCATTGAAACATATTTTGCCTGCTCAAAATATTCTTGTGAGATTCAAAACAAGTTTTTTTTTTTTCCAAGCTCGGTAATGTTTAATTAAAATTTCCACTGTGGGTGTCAGTTCTGCAACCCCTTAGTAAAGAATGCATTTCATATGGTAATTATCCAACAAACAATGGCCTTTTTTTCTTTGATTCACAGGTAATTGAGACAAACACCCCAAACAAACAAAAACTGGCCCATGACATGTTAGATCAAAATTGTATTAAATTAAATTTAGGGTATTTCACTCACATAATGAAATGCTTGAATTTGTGAATTTAACACATTTTACTATTATATTTATTCACCGCCCATCTCAGTGTCATGAATTCGGTTGGCTTCCCAACGTATGAGAGAGACACGAAAACTGATGAAAAAGTATTACTGTACATGTTGTGGCCTGTTCTAAGGCTGTATCATGCAACGTGGTTCCTTTGCATTTTAACATGGGGATGTGTCAGTTTCTCAATAGGATTATAGCAAAGCAAAAATCTGAAGCCAGCAAGAAATTTTGGCACAGTCCTAGCAAAAAGTTGCTAATATCATAAGCAAATTGGAGAGAAGTACTGGCAGTATGCCTCTTCCTTTTAAACTACTGGCAAGGCCTTATGTACTGTGAAAATGCATGGAAATGCAGAACAAGCAAGCTGTATGCACAGTCTTTACAACTTAAAACCACAACTGAGCCCAGAATTTCTGTTGCTAAATAAGACAGCTGTTAAGTGAACTTTGTCCCATTTTATGACCTTTGTTGCCAAAGTTGTTAGGTGAATCACTGCATTTGTTAAATTAGTAACACGATTGTTAAGTGAATCTAGCTTCCCCATTGATTTTGCTTATCAGGAGGTTGCAAAATGTGATAATATGACCTTGGGATACTGCAGCCTTCATAAATATGAGCCAGTTGCCAACTGTCCAAATTTTGACTATGTGACCTTGGAGATGCTACAACAGTCATAAGTGTGAAAAATGGTAACGAGTCACTTTTTCAGTGTCGTCGTAACTTCAAAGGGTTACTAAATGAACTGTTGTAAGTTGAGCACTATATGTACTTTCTTTAAGTCTGGTATTTTAGGCTTGTTTCTGGGTTTAAAGCTTATTGATGTAATTTTTAAACCCTGCGTTTCTTGTTGCTAAACTTACAAATTCTGTCCTTAATTCCTTGTTGTTCAGGATTATGAATTAATTTGAAGTTAAGTTTATCTGGATTTAAGCCTCATGCCATTTAATCATAAATCTGTCAAATTATTTTATTATAGAGTAGCCCCAGCCCATAATATAGGCTTAGAGAAGGCTTAGGAGTATCTTACACTTTTGATATTGGTAAGGGCTGTTGGCTGAGTGCCTGAGTTAATTGCTGAGTTAGTATAGCATGATAACACGAGCACAGTTATGCTGCAGGCAGTCATTTCTGTATCAGCGTAAAAATGGAAGATGTTAGGACAAATGAAGGAGAGTTTAGGTTGGTATAATAAAGATAGATTTTCTGGCACAGTATTTGTTTGAGAACAACTTACTAAGTGTCTGGCATCAATAACCTTAATGAAAGTTTCTGCTATTAAACACAAGCAAAATGGTATTGAGTGGATTCTTGATGTGGTATGGCTGTGGTGATCATATTTTCTTCACCTGAAAAGGGGGAAAATCTGAAAGAAATTCACAAGGATAAAATTTTCAAACTTTTTACAAAGGAAAATTCAAGAACAAAACCAAGAAAAACTTTTATCAAAATGCATAACCTACTAAAAATATCTAAAATCAAACAGTATATTTAAATTCATTTTAAAAAGACAATTCCATTTGCATGGTTTTTCACAAGAATATGAAAGAGGCTGCATTTTTGTGCTGTTTGTATGGTAAAAGTTAAATGACCAAAATAAAGGACAGAGTGATTTTTGAAAAATAAATAAACATAAATCTAAATCTATTTCTGAAATAAAGCACTACCTATAATAAAGGACACATTGTGGTTGTAGGTTGTCATAAGGCACTTTTGTACTATAATGGCTTCTGCTACTTTATTAGGTTTCCCCCCATCTTTATTACTTCATAAGTAATAAAAGTGACAAACATACTACTACTTCTTTCTAATACTATTTTCCCCACAATAACCCTGTGAGGTGGGTTGGGCTGAGAATGACTGGCCCAAAGTCACCCAGTGGCTTTCATGCCTACAGTTAAAGTAGTACTTAGTTGTCAGCTGCCTGCAATTACTGTAAGTTCAAATCTCACCAGGCTCAAGGTTGACTCAGCCTTCCATCCTTTCGAGGTAGGTAAAATGAGGACCCGGTTTGTAGGGGCAATAAGCTGACCTTGTATAAAAAAAGAGCACAACTTAGGGGGCCCTGAAAGCCCTACTAAGCAGGTATATACAAAAGTATGAAGGCTATTGCTTAATGCATTGAGGCCCATGAGTCTCCGGAGAAGGGCGGCATATTTATTTATTTATTTATTTTATCAAATTTATATGCTGCCCTTCTCCCGTAGGACTCAGGGCGGCTCACAGAATAAAAACAACATAACAATAAAATAGTGCTAACACAAACCAATTTAAAATCCCCAGACAATTAAAACCTCGCAGCAGATCAGGGAATTTGCTGAAAAAGCCATGTCTTCAGGTCGGCGCGGAAAGTGCGAAGGTTGGGGGCTGTCCGGAGCCCGTGGGTAACCCATTCCAGAGGGTCGGTGCGACCACAGAGAATGCCCTCATCCTGGAGGCTGCCAACCGACATTGTCTGGCCAACGGCACCCAGAGGAGGGCTGTCCTATGTGAGCGCACTGGGCGGTGGGAGGCCGGTAGGAGGTGGTCCTGCAAGTACCCCGGGCCCATGCCATGAAGGGCTTTATAGGAAAGTACCAGCACCTTGAAGTGGATCCGAAGAGCCACCGGCAGCCAGTGCAGCTCGCGCAGGAGAGGTATTACACGGGAGTAATGGGAAGTAATGGGAAGCTCCCATAACAGCCCGTGCATTCTATAAAATCGAACTAATAAATAAATAAATAAATAAATAAATACATACATACATACATACATACATACATACATACATACATACAGCAGGACAAGAACTCCCAGTCTCCTGGTGTCTAGGCCAGCACCTTAATCACTATATCAAATTGGCTCTCAATAGGCCCAAACTCTGCAAATATATAAATATATAAATAATAGAGCACCATCCTCTGACTTCAAGAAACTCTCATTTTTAAATACTTAGACATGTTTTCTATCGTGTAGTCAGTATGGTATATGATATGTTCTAAAAATGTGAAAAGATGTTCACCTGTTTTAACTTGTCTTTTATTACAGAATCATTTATTGTACATTGAAAAGAAAACACATTAGGGAAAGAAGAATATAATGGAAATGGAAGGATTCCCTCCACCACCACCTCCTGAAGGTAATACAAATTTAAAAAGTATGGCTGTTCATGCTAAATTGAAAGTGCCTGCATTTTAAAATACTTGAATTTATTTATTTTGTATGTTTAAGTCATTGTTGACGCCTGGATACTGTCTGGCCTATTTCCTGCAATTTCTTTAGTAAGATTTTTGGGAGTGGTTTGCCACTGCTTTCTTCCTGGGGCTCAGATAGAGGGACTGGCCATTTAGCTGGCTTCATGCCTCAGGTGGGACTAGAATTCATAGTCTCCTAGGTTTTAGCCTGGTGCCTTAACCACTACATCAGGATGGCGGTTTTTAAAATAATTCCTTAAATGTTGTTTTACTATTCTGAATTACATCGTTGTTGTTTCTTTTACTGCATTCTTTGTTTTCATAAACTCATGGGGAGAAGATTCTGTGTCTAGCATATGTTTTAGATTTCCTTAAGATTCCACTGAATTACTTCATTCGTTGGCACTGGTTATTAAAGATGAGAAGTTGTTTCTAGTAATCTTTTTCATTTGTTACGGTATATATTATCTCCTATCTGGAACTGGATCTCTATTATTGTGGGATGGTTATGCTAATGCAAGGTTGTTTACAATGCAGTTTTTATTTAGGGTGGATAAGTCAATATATGTGATGGGACAGAGCCAGTGAAAACATATGTGAATGCATCATTTTCTGGACAGTGTTGACTAAACGTATTTTGCAATCTCTTTTCTGCATTAGCTATATCTGTTTGTGTTCCGGCTAGGGTTTTAACTGATTCTTCATAGAATCACTAGGTGAAGCCATCTATTTGCTGTGGGGTTAGGAATCATCAGTAGCCCCCAGGCCAAAGAAGTGACCCTGTCCAAGTCCTGGCTCAGTACCTGGAGCCTCTCCAGATGTGGATGGGGAGGCCTGTAAGGATTCATTATCTGTTTCTGGGGATAGTCCATGTTTAATATTCAATGAGGTTACTGTTCCCCTTGTGTGATTGGCACAGTTTGGGGGGTCTTCTTGGACTGACAACTGCTGAAAGAGAAATAAATTTTGTACATGTTCATCTGGTGGTATATCTCCTTCTTGAACCAGGAGGCCCTTCAGGACCAAGGAGGTCAATTACATCTTGGTCTCTCACAGTTGGATTACTGTGATGCCTTCTATATGTGGCTGCCCTTGAAGATTACCCAATAGTTATACCTGATATAGAGTAGTGGTAGTGCAGGCAATGATATGTGTCATGACATGTGTTCCCACTGCTTCAAAATTTGCAATGTTATTGGCTGGCTTCTGGGTGCAATTCTGTATAATGGTTATTAACTACTGGTGTAAAGCCCTTCATGGGACTGCTTCTCTCCATATGTTTTTACCAGTTCAATGAGGGCTGATAAAGTGGACACATTCTAAATCTCATTAAGCAAACAATGTCATCTTGCAGCACCCAGAAAGCATGCCTTCTTGATGGCAGACGCTGACCTCTGCAGTGTTATGCTCTGAAAGTGACACTGCTTGAATTTCCACAAACTATAAAAAACGTGGTTGTTTTCCTGGGCTCTGGGAAAGGATGGTGGTCATGTCCCTTTGACTTCTTGGTTTTATTTGTATCAAGGTTTTCTCTTCAGCTGTACTCTTTTTTTAATATATGTTGTTTTCTTTTAATTATAAGTCCCTCAGAGTTATGGAGGAGTTGGGCAACCTCAAATTTTAATTTAATGAATAAAATATGGTTTGCTCTCAATTTCCTTAATGCTAATGATCCTTAACCATGAGGCTTTCTGGCTTGGATAACTTTTTTCTTAACTTCCAATATCAGAAGAAGTCTGAGAAGTCTGTTTCAGGCTTTTCTAAATTAATATTTTATTTTTATATATAACAAAACCCCAGCTGAGTGCATAGTGCCTTTGGTGTCTTCTGTCTGTATCTGTCTATTTATCTGTATCTCTCACCTACCTGTCCCTCTGTCTGTCTTTCTCTCTTTCTCTCTCTCTCCCTCCCTCCTCCCCCTCTCTCTCTTGTTTAGAAATGACCCATATCCCTCATAGAAGGACTCTGAGCAGCGTAAAAATGAAACATATGCAAAGGTAATGTTTCATATAGTGTACTCATGGCAGGTAGTGCCGGGCTGACTCTGAATTCATGAATGATGGAATCCATAAAATACCCTGATACTACCTCAAGGATACCTGATACTCACTGAAAATTTGCTTTTGCAGGCTGTGTTGTCTTTTATGCAACACTTAATCAAGTTCTGTATGCTCACAGAATTCCATTTGCCTAAGTATTTGAAAGGGAACACTGCCTTTTAATTCAGCCATAAATAATATATTATTTGGCTGAAAAAATGTGAAAATGCTGCCCAGCAGCAAATGTTACTTCCTTCCAGTATGTATTAAGGATAGTTTAACCCCAAATGTAAAATAAAATAGTAGTCTCTTCTGAAATTGCCAACACTGATTTCCATTGTACTGTCTCCATTATACAATTTCTTGGGAGTTCCATATCATCGCGCCAGTATCTCTATGACTTCCTTGCAGTACAAAAACGCTTTCTTTTTTTAAAAGTGAGATAGTATATCCAGATCTTCTGAGTTATGTTTAGGATGAGTCTGAGGGATTTAATAATTCCATTGTATTATACTTTGTTTGTTGTAAAGAAAATTGTTTTTATGTTCCACAATCTGGAAATACCACACTATCCAAAGACAAATGATTTATTTTCTGGAGATTTGGGAAGGCTGGGACCACATTGGATGGAGAGGCATCAAAAGTTCAAACCTGTTTTTTGAATCTTTGGCTACGGCCAGAATGAATCATACTTATTTATCTTCTAAAACTTTATCTCTGTGTAGAAATGTTCAGAAACTTTGGTGAAGAATGTTCAACTTTGGGTAATTATTTAATGAAAGTATATTTAGAAAAAGAAGACTACTACCCTGAAATACAAGAAAATATGGCACCCTTTTTATAAATTAATGAAAAACGCCTGATAGACTGCAATCCTGTTTGTGACATTTCAGAAGTAAATTCTACATATGATCACAAAGAAATAGTTAAAATAATTTGTGCACTGGTTGTTGGTCATATTTGTAAATTATGGATTATTAAAATTCATGTAATTTAGAGTGAGGAGTTTAGCAAGAATTTAATAGGAAGTCTGCCTGACAGAGCCTTCTTTGAGGATTGTAAGAATATTGCTTAAACTGAACTTTGTATTATATGGCATTTGTTTGTGCGATATGCCCATTTATGCACACAGACTGTTACAAAAGATGGTACAAATGGAGCCAAGATTTAAGTTGAATGAGAACAGCTTCTGAATTGTAGCCCTCAATAGTCCTTTTTGTGGAAGCTGCTGGTAGATTGTTTGGTCTCTGAATTTCTGAGTTTTAAAAGAGAAGAATCTTTTAAAAAGAAAGGGAAAAGCCAAAGTATTTAATTTTTAAAAAATCAGAGAAAAATAAAATTAAGTAAAGTAGCTTTAATTATTTACTTTTATATAACAGCCATGCTTCACAACAGAGAGATAGAACATAAATCTTTTTTCTCCACTAATGTAAGCAGGGCATTGTGCATTGTTAACTTATACATGAAAGAACGTATTTCCAATTAAAGATAAATCTCTCAAGTCATGCTGGGCTCCTGGTGACTTCATGGACATGCCTAGTCAGTTTCCTTGGCAAGAATACAGAAGTGGGTGTGCCATACTGGGATATCTTTTTCTTTTTTACTCCTGTGTGTAGTTTATAGTTCTGATATTCCTTTATGGCCCAAAATCAGAAGTTCCCAACTGGAGTGCCCATAGTCCCAGGGGGTACAAAATAGAATTTCAGGGTGTGTGACAAAGAGTGTCTTGTTTCTGTTAGGGATGAGTCATAAGTCAAAATTACTTGTTTGTGAATATAATCAAACATTTCCTCAGGGTGTGGGGCATAGGACCACAGCTCTAGATGTTAGTCTTAAGGCGTCCATTTTGATTCTAAAATCAAATCACCCTGTTGATTTCTATCTAGTGTTATGTGGAGACCATGTAGAAAGGCACTGTTTCCTTCCCTATTTTAAAATCAAAGACTGCTGTCAGAGAAATGGATTTTAGTGTTCAGTCAAGCACATTGTGCAGCTATTCTTTTCACTCTTGAATAAATTATTCTTCACAAATGAAAATAAATAAAGGAAACGCAAGAAGGCTACCAAAGGAATCCATGCAGCAACTTGAAAATGTTAGTGCAGGCAATTTCCTTGGCAACACACATTTCTTCCATTTAATTGTAAATATAAGGATAAAATGAAAATATAGTCCTAACCGTTCTTATTTCTAAGAAAGTATTGTATGTTTAGAAGTCCGTCTGCTCTTGCAGCTCCACATCAAGACATTTTTGTATCTCTCTAGACCAATGGTGAAATCCAAATTTTTTTACTACCGGTTCTGTAGGCGTGGCTTGGTGGGCTTGGTGGGTGTGGCTTGGTGGGCGTGACAGGGAAGGAGACTGCAAAATCTCCATTCCCACCCCACTCTTGGAGGAAGGTTATTGCAAAATCTCCATTCCCACCTCACTCTGGGGCCAGCCAGAGATAGTATTTGCCGGTTCTCTGAACTACTCAAAATTTCCACTACCAGTTCTCTGAATTGCTCAAAATTTCCGCTTCTGGTTCTCCAAAACCTGTCAGAACCAGCTGGATTTCACCCCTGCTCCAGACCCAAGAAAGCTTTTTTTATAGATGTTTTGATTATTGTGGGAAAGTGTCAGCCTTTCTGGGAAGATCAGATTGGAAGGAGGACCATATTAGCTAATTCTGGTTTAATGTAAGGCTACATTAAGAGACTCTTACAAGTCTGAAAGTACAAATATCCCACTGTCTTCTTTGCAGCCCAAGCCCTTTTTTGGAGGGAGATCCTTCTGAGCTGCTTTCTACATCCATTATGCAGCTGTAGGCTATGATCTGTCCTATGTTATTGTCCCCTAGGCAACATCTCTCTTCCCAAGTCATTCCCACATACTAAGGAGATGTATGCACAAAAATGTAACCTAGCCATTTCCTCTTCTATAAATTTATTCTTCCATAAATTTGCTTTTACTTTTCCATAAATTTGGAACTCTTTTATGTGTTCTTAAAAAGGCAAGACCTTCCAGTCTTAATAGGTTTTTTAAAGGTGTTGATTGAATTTAAAATGATCAGATGAAAAGTATTTAGTACCCATTTAATTACCCCAGCCATTACCTTCTCAGAAATTAGGCAGGGCGGTGATTCAGATAACCTTAAAAACGCATATGTGGCCAAAGTTCTGAGTTTTGTCTTTATTAAATATTTATTTTATTTTATTTTTTTGTTTTATTGCTCTGAAAATGGTATTTGAAGAACTCCCAAGTCAGAAAAGGCTAGCAGCTGATAACATTAACAGTTAATACTGATTGAGTGGTAAGAATCCAGACTTTGTTAGTAAGTTATAAATATAAAGCATATTTTATTTATTTTGATAATTGCCATCACTGGACAAAAGAAAGGTAAATAAGAATGGTATTGACTGGGATCGGGTAAAGTTTGATCTTCTTGTAAAGTGAGTCAAAATAGACTAAATGTTTAGCTAGAACAGGGGTGTCAAACTTGACATATCACATGACGTATCATGACTTTTTCCCCCTTTGGTAAACTGGGGGTGGGGGTGGCCAGCACATGACACATCCGCCTCGCAGGCCGTGAGTTTGACACCCTGAGCTAGAAGGATCAAGAGAAATCAACACTCACATAGCCTCTAATATTGTTTTATTCACCAGCAGGCAAAAGCTTTGATACCTTCCTCAGGGAAACTATTAAATAACATAGCCATCCTTGGCAGACTACAGACCTCATCTGTTTTGGAATCCACCTTTATTTATTTAATATATTCCAATACTACTCCCCATAGATTCACATTTGGATAAAAGTTTCTCTAGCAATATTAAATCTCTGGGTATTGTTCTTAGGCCAATTTTTTCTAGTAAACACCCAGGTCTGACATCACTGGTCCTTTGAAATATGCCTGATATCATTTTTAATTAAAAAAAGAGCTTATCTAATGACTTTATATAAGAATCTGCTGCCTTTCAATTGGCCAGTTGTTTATTTCTTGTAATATCTGTGAATATATAAGTCAGTGTGTTATCAAATTAGCATTGTAATGTGAGGTGCTAAATATTTTAACAGAGTTTACTCTGAACTAACATATAACTTAATATTAAAGCATTGCATGTTCATACTAGGGGCTGTCAAACTCCCGGCCTTGTGGGCCGGATTCGTTATGTGCTGGCCACGCCCATCTTAGTGAAGGGGAAAAAAGTCCTGATACGTCATGTGACGTCGCTGTAACGACGTGAGTTTGACACCCCTGTTCATATTGGAGACATGTTCTATATAATAGGAATACAGATAGTCCTCAACTCAAGGCGGACTAATGGAGATTGCCTATGATGGTCAGAAGTCGTGACAGCTGTTAAGTGCTCATGTGATTACCTCATGATCCCCACCCACCCACCCTAGGCCTTCCAAGCTCCTCTGTCCCCTGAGGCACCCTGTATTCTCCTTTCTGTCCCTGCAGTTGATTGTAAGGACAAATGACAGTATGGGCACTGCAGCAATGAACTTAAAACCAGGTCATAAGTAGCTTTTGGGGGGAGGGGGTCTACTGTAACTGAGCAGTTACTAAGCAACCTGTCGTAAATCGAGGATTACCTATATATGGTTATAAAAGGGCAAGCTTGCGAATGTTTCCTGACATAAATTTGTTTGAACCCAGGTAGTTCATTTTGGTTTTAGGAATACTTATACATGATAAAAAATATATAAAAAATAAACTTGGTATGAAATGATTTAAATGTTGAAAAGTGTATTGGAGATTCTTACTGGCTTTAAATACCTTTTGATGGATGTGTAAGGATGCTGATCACTAAGAGCAGATTGTCTGCATTCTTCTGTATCAGCATTGATTATTTGGAAGTTCCATATTTTTAATTTGCTTCTAAGAATGATGGATAAATTGATTGCATGTATATCAAAATAATATATTGCATACATTACTTTTGAGCAATAACAGCTGTCAACTAAGTAGTGGCATTTCTTCTCATGTATCTCTGATTTTGTACCATCTGCTTCCTATATACTTCCAACACTAGTTCTGCAGTAATCAATATATGTTATAATTTTGAAAATAGATATTCATAGGATGAATGTAAGATTGATATGTCCTAATGTCCTAAGTCATAATGCTAAGTGTTAAAAGTGTGATTGTAACTCATTTCATACCCATCGTTTGTCAAGGGTTTGGTTTGTCTTTTCACGATGTCCACTTTTTAGTTTTAGGAAATGACATACCAATCACTGCTGCTAATGAAGAAGAGGACGAAGAAGGAGAACAGTTTGACTTTGATAGCGGAGATGAGATACCAGAAGCGGACAGACAAACTATTTTGCCAATTCAAGAAGAGGCAAATTGTATAGGTACATGATTCCAGGCAAAATAAATAATGGGAATGTTACTTTTTGCAAATATGAATTGCCTTTGAGAGTAACTCTATAGTCCTTGCAAATCGTCACTCCTGGGAATCATGGATTGAACCAATTTGGGCTCTCAAAAATTACAACTGTTAATTGCATGAAAACCTAAATGAGATTTGTCCCAGGAAAAGCTGTATGCAAGTTACTCTTAGGGGCCCATGCAATTAAGCCACTATGAGATGACACTCTCAATGTATAGATTCAGAGATTACTCCAATGGCAAGAGATGCAGCTTTCTGGAATTCTCTGCCTTGCCTGTCATAAGAATTTGCAAGAGCAGGCCAACATGACTACTGTATAAAATTGTCAGATTTTCTAATGCTCCTATATTGAATGGTGAGAGTTGAGTAATTCAGGACAAGTCACTGCTTGAGTTGATAAAGTTTTTCTATCTATGTCAACCTGGTTCTCAGTGGAGAGAAGTTTACAAGACTTGGGCTCTCCAGATTAGAACAGCAGCTGACAGCAATTGAAGCCTACCAACCTGAAGGTGGCTGAAAACCTTGGTATAAGGTCAGGCAACAAAGGAGAACGGAATTGTTATACGACTATTTTGCATTTAAATCAGTGTTGAAATCCAAATTTTTTACTACCGGTTCTGTGGGCGTGGCTTGGTGGGTGTGGCTTGGTGGGCATGGCAGGGGAAGGATACTGCAAAATCCCCATTCCCTCCCCACTCCTGGGGGAAGGATATTGCAAAATCTCCATTCCCACCCCACTCTGGGGCCAGCCAGAGGTGGTATTTGCCAGTTCTCTGAACTACTCAAAATTTCCGCTACCAGTTCTTCAGAACTTGTCAGAACCTGCTAGATTTCAACACTGATTTAAATATATACATAGGTATAGACATAGTGTTATTACTATGCCTATGCTATATTACCCTATACTTAGTATAATACAATATGTTAGTATATAGTATAATATGTGAAGGTAGAAGTTAGGAAAATAAGCAAGTTTGTTAAATTTATAACAAAAGCTTTTTAAAGGCTTTCCTTTAAAACATAGGAAAGACAAAAATGGTCTGTTTGTTGGTGATTTGCACTATTTCTCAAAAGACAAACCCACCTACCCCCCTTATACTTCAACAGTTACCAATCCCAGGGAAAAAAAAACATTAGGTTTAAGGAATTGCAGATAAGTGCCCTTGTACACTCTGAAACACCCTTCCAATCTGAAGCACTCAACACCTCCACTCTGTTCTAAATCTCAAGGCCGAATAGTTTGCCTAACAGATTAAACACTCAAGCTGTGGATTCTATTTGTATGCAAGCTAATTTAAAATAACACAGCATTCTGTCTCACTATTATTGGGCCTCTGCTGTAACACCTATAGAAATATTTGTAGCCAGTCTCCACCTCTCTTTTCAGGCCCCAAAGCCCTCTTGGGAAGTGGGTTTTTGTTTTTTTTGTAATGGTACAGGAGGAAACCAAAATGTCTTTCTGCTGCTTTGCAGATACTCAGTCTGTGCTGAGGTGGAAAGAGAAAGTGTTTTACCACCTGTTGACTGGCTGCAGTTTCTCACCATTTCTGTTGGAGTGGTGAACCTCCTGAGCTCTGCTTCCCCGTTCAGCTTGCCTCCTGTTGGTTTGCTGAAGTCCAACCCCATCACCTACCTGTTGAGCTGCAAATTCTTCCTTTCTGTTCTTCCACCTGAAACAAATCTTCCTTCAAAACATACCCCTGCCCTCAGCATTTTTCTTTTATAATTGGAAACCAGGTGTGGTTCAATGGTCTCTAGATTGCCTTAAAATCCCAGGAGGAGAAAACAAAGGGGGAAAAAAGAGCTCTTGTTGGCCATTGCAAGGCTTTCCTTCTCCAAGAAGTCAGCTGCATTATTCTGGGAAAGACAGTTGCTTTAAGGCAGGGATGCCAAACTCAATTTCATTGAGGGCCACATCAGAGTTGTGTTTGACCTTGGGGGCCGGGGTGGGCATGGCCAGCATGATGTCACTCATAGCGGAGGTGTCTGGTGGCCCAAGCGCTCTGCCAGCGAAAACGGGCTCCTGAGCTCTGTTTTTGGCCGCAACAGCCTCCTGCGGCCCTCTGCCAGCAAAAATGGAGTTTTTTTGGGGGGGGGGGCTGTGTGCTGGCAGAGGCACTGTGGGCCGGTCCTTCGCTGTTTCCAGGGCGGCCCCGCAGGCCAGATCTAAGCACCCTGTGGGCCGGATCTGGTTCGCAGGCCTTGTGTTTGACACCCCTGCTTTAAGCACTATATAAATACTCCATGTAGCATCATTTTGCCTTCAGATCTGAAGTGCAGTACATAGAAAGTAGCTTGGTTTTGAAGGGGAGGAGAAGCCATTTTGCAGAGGGAGGAAGTTTGGTTTTTTTTTTCTCGTTATGAGAAGAGTTGCTTTGACAGCAATATGTATCTTTTGTATTCAAGGTAATGAAAATCTAGAAAACCTAGAAGAAACAGAGAAAATGCAGAGCTCCAAAGCCAATGCAGAGGGCATCCTACCAAGGGTAAACCCATACTCTGTCATAACCATTTCGCCAATGCAGGAAAAGGAGCTGTTGCTGTCACCAGAGCCAACCACACAAGATGGAACTATAAGTCCCACCCTCTCAAGTGGCTATTCGGTTCCAGTGCCTTGTGGCTATGCCGTGCCATCCAATTTGCCATTGATATTGCCGGCGTATTCCAGTCCTATTATAATCCGCAACCCTTCTGTGGATGAAGAAGGTAGTGTAGAGCTATGCATAATTATATTTTTTAAAAATAGAATTATTTTCCTGTCAATGTCCTCTAATTTCTTGGATATTTTGAACCCTCTTTGTAATCCAAAGCTATGCACATTGCTGTTGGACATTGAGTTTTGCACCCCGCCACATAGCTTAAATATCTTTGTTAATATCAATAAGATTTATGTAGTCTGTTAATGATAGTTTTGTGGTGTTGACAACTTATTTTTTATGCTAGAAAGTGTCAATTTTATTAGGATTGTGTTTTTAATAAACGAAATAAATTCTTAATAGGACCCTCCCCTCTTCTCTTCCCCTCAAATTGTCTCTGCCTGGTTCGTCGGGCTTTGGGTAAAACTTGGAGAGTATGCAAAGGGATATTTGGAAAGCAGAAATAGTCTTCTTGCAGAAGCAGAAATCTGTTTATTCTACATTGGATTATAGAAACTCTTATCTGTATTTCTCAGTTCTTTGAAATGTCTCTATTTCTAAACTATAAAAGATATTTACCCAATGTATTGATATTATCCTTCTCATCTTTCCTACTATCTTCTCCTGTTGGTTATCTATGATTTATCACTTGTATATTATGACTAATGGTTGTAACTATGATCTATGAATCTATCACTTTGTTTGTATGTACGCTGAGAGTTTATGCACCGGACACAAATTCTTTGTGTGTCTAATCACACTTGGCCAATAAAGAATTATATTCTATCCATAGGTTATAAAATGAAAGGGGTTTTACATATATGCATGGAAGGATATAGCATGCCCTTTTTGCTTACTTAAATATTTATAATCCCATATTCAGAGGAGCTCATAAAATGCATTATTAATGGAGGCCTTTAGAAGCCCACTGAACAATATTTAAGAGCAGGAAATCTTATTTGACAAATCACTATAATGAATGTTAATTTAAAATGCTTTCCCTTAACGTCACCGTCACTGAGAGACTGTATCATTTCTTTAGCAAGTGTTCATATAGTAGCCGAAGATGGTCATTCAAATTCTCAGAGTTCAGAAGAACCTCCAAACAGGTAAGTCAAATATTTAATGACATTTATTGTGAAAGTATAACATAACTGAAGTATCAGTACATCTGGAGTTCAGTAGAAAAGTAGTGTTTTAAACTGAGGACAGCAGGATTAGTACATGTTCAGGAAAAAGTGATAAGATCCTTCCACAAGTCCGTCTTTTCATAGTCATATTCAACTTCTTTAACAATACAGACCATATCTATGGAGATTCTCAATCATCCAGATCATGGTTGTCCCAATGGTGCTTTTTTCAAGAGGCATCTGGACTTCCTTGTTTTTCTTTGAAGACTTTTTGCTTCTCATCCAAGAACTCTGATGAAGAAGCTTCTTGGATGAGAAGCAAAACGTCTTCAAAGAAAAATAAGAGAGTCCAGTTGTCTCTTGAAAAAAGCACCTTTGGAACAATACAGACCATGGTTAATAATGCTTGTCTGTTGGTGGAATGACATCTATGAAATAAATGCTCCACAACAAGCTTGTCCAAAATCTGTTCCAGAAGACGGCTGATGTCTGATTATGTTATTATTGGATATAGGCTGGTACATCTAGCGCTACAAATGCCTTATTACTTCTTTGAGGGTAGTCAAGCTGTAGCAATGCCTGCCATTTTTCCAAAACCATCTATCTGACCATCTATTGAACAAAGCAAGATGCTGCACTAAATGAACTTTCTTGCTTTATATAGATTTTTAAAACCTTTTTTTCCTTTTAGTTCCTGTAGATTTCTCTTCAATCTCTGTTTGTTTCTTCCTACTTCAGCCTGACTACCTGTCCCTGTACCTAAAACTTAATTATTACTGTGACTCATTTCTGAGTCATTTCCCAAAACCTTCCCTTTATAGTGTCTTTTGTAAGCAGTTCAGGTGGACATTACCTGTTTAGAGCTGCAGATAGTGTTTTTCAAATCGGGGCTTTGGGTGGGTGGGGAATGAAAATGAAACATTTGTGAGGCAACATGGACCAAATCAATTTCCTAAATTTAGAGCCAGTGGGAATATACTGGCAATAATACACATGGCCTTATTTGAACAAAAGCCACCAAGTCTCTCGAGTCCATGAAAGCAAGGCCATTTTTTCCCCAAACGTTTCTAGGAGAAAGTCCTCCTGTAACGCCTAGAGATTTTGTTTGTTCCTACCCTGTCTCTTCCCAATGACACTGGAAATAAAACAGCTGTGATGCAGAGTGGCATATTAGTTCATCTTTGGCACTTGTTTTTATGTGAAGGAGATCATGTTAAAAGCAGCCACCCTACCAGACTGTATCAGAGAGAGGAAACAGTTAAGGGGTTTGCTTGTTCAATAGCTTCTGGGCAGTCAAGGCAACCAGAGTGTGATTTTTCACACCTGCTAGTGGATTGTAAAGATAAAGCAGAAATGTAGCCCTGACCATTATTAAACAGGTTGCTTTTTATCAGGGCTCTAGTGTGCTTTGGATTTGGTCTCCAAGAGGTGCTTCAGAGTGCCCAGCTCTGCAAGCATGGAATTGATCTATAAAACTTCACAGGAGCTGCATATTTCTTTCTCATTTGGAGATGAAATATGAAGCATGCATAGCTCATTACCTACTCATATTGGTATCTTATGACTATCACCTGTCTGTTGCTTGTATCGTGTACATTTAGTGACTGTTCAAAGTTAAAATGGCACTGAAAAAAGTGACTTATGACCGTTTTTCACACTAATAACGGTTGCAGCATCCCGGTGGTCACGTAATCAAAATTCAGATACTTGAAAACTGATTTATGTTTATGATGATTGCAATGTTCCGGGATCATGCGATCACCTTTTGTCACCTTCTGACAATCAAAGTCAGCAGGGGCATCAGAGTTACTTAACCGTGTTCCTAACTTAACAACTGCAATTATTCATTTAAGTGTAGCAATGAAGGTTGTAAAATGGGGCAAAACTCACTTAACAAATGTTTCACTTAGCAACAGAAATTTTGGGCTCAGTTGTTAAATTGAGGACTACCTGTATCTCGTGATTTATGATTTATCACTTCGGTGTTTGCATGTACCCTGAGAACTTTTGCACCGGAGACAAATTCCTTGTGTGCCCAGTCACACTTGGCCAATAAAGAATATTCTATTCTATTTTGTACAGGCAAAGCCTTAAGATGAATTGACAACATTCTTTATATTTTAGATGAATAATCATTTCGGAAAGAATAGTAGTATAAATATAGGGAAGGCACTTTAAGGCTTGCTGGACTCCCCTTTTCGCCCAGTCATTGCCCTGTACTTCAGCATACCTGAAATACAAAACCCTGAGATGGTGGCGTATAGATTCCTCTGCATCTTGTTGCCCTTCCTATTGGTTGTTGGTCGCGAAGTTGTGTCCAACCCATCGCGACCCCATGGACAATGTTCCTCCAGGCCTTCTTGTCTCCTACCATCCCCCGGAGTCCATTTAAGCTCACACCAACTGCTTCAGTGACTCCCATCTAGCCACCTCGTTCTCTGTCATCTCCTTCTTCTTTTGCCCTCAATCGTTCCCAGCATTAAGCTCTTCTCCATAAGTCCTTCCTTTTCATTAGGTAGCCAAAGTATTTGAGTTTGAGTTTCATCTTTATCTTCAGGACCTGGCCCTCTAAAGAGCAGTCAGGGTTGACCTCCTCTAGGACTAACTGGTTTGATCGCCTTGCAGTCCAAGGGACTTGCAGGAGTCTTCTCCATTACCATAGTTCAAAGGCCTCAATTCTTTGGCGCTCAGCCTTTCTTATGGTCCAACTTTCACAACCATACATTGCAACTGGGAAAACCATAGCCTTGACTTTACGCACTTTTGTTGGCAGGGTGATGTCTCTGCTTTTTAGTATGCTGTCTTGATTTGCCATAGCATCTTTTAATTACTTGGCTATAGTCCCCATGTGTGGTGATCTTGGAACACAGGAAAATAAAATCTGTCACTACCTTCATTTCTTCCCCATCTATTTGCCAGGAATTGAGAGGGACGGATGCTATGATCTTAGTTTTCTTAATGTTGAGTTTCAAGCCAACTTTTGCACTCTCCTCCTTTACCCGCATCAAGAGGCTCTTTAGTTCCTCTTCATTTTCTGCCATTAGCATGATATCATCTGCATATATGAGGTTGTTGATATTTGATATTCCTATTGGTGGACACCCTAAATGAAGGATCTCAGCAGAAAAGAGGGGAAGGAAAAGACTTTAGGCATTGCTGCTAGCTGCTTTCTTCATTTTCTCACTCTCTTCTTCCCTCCTCCTGGATGAATGAGGAGAGGGAAAACAAGCACACCTTATTTGTTCTGCAAAAATCTGGATGACCTCTAGACAGAGGCAAGAGTTACAAAGACTCTCACTCTGTAGGACTATAGAGATGCCTAAGAGAGGCAGACTAATGAGGGGCTGGGAGGGAGTGCTAATGCAAATGTACCACTGTTTTCTGAATGGGAGGAATGAAGCTGTGTTTAGCATTACTTTAGGTAACTTGGGAGATGTGGGTCAGAGGTTTTGTCTGAAAAGATTGCATTCAACACTACTTATGCCCCACCAAAGATGATTCTTTTATGTGTTCACTTTTTTCCTGCACTATTTTAAGCCCAATGGATTCTCAGGCTTCATTGCCACTTCTTTCAGAAGCAATTTAGATTTTTTTTTCTGAAGCATATTTTTAAGTAACAATATATTGTTGAGGACAACAGTTCATGGAAGATCTCTTTAAATTCAGTAATTAATATTGTGGTAATTAATGGAATTGCATATTCTCCTACTCTCATTAAATTTAATGGAGTTTCCAAGTCAAGATGCAAACAACATTGTGCTTCAAGGCAATTGAGTACATGAAAATCATCTTTATTTTCTCTGTGTGTGCTTACTTTATAGTGAAGATAATCAGGGAAGCACAGATGAGAATGCCTTGGCCAAATGGGTGGCTGATCCTGCAAATACAGAGTGGATGGAGAGTGAGTATGGATGACCAACAGTTCCTCTGCAGGAATTTAACAGTCTTGGGTCAATGGCTCAGATTGCTGAATTTATCAGATTAATTGGCCTGGCCTGAATAGGTTTTATGGGTTAGTTTTTTAATTGTATAGCTTGGGGTTTTAAATTGGGAGGCTAATTAATTAAATTTATTTTTAGTTATCTTAACTTTTATATTGTATGTCATTTTAATTTTCAGCTGTTCACCGCCCTGAGTCCCTTCGGGGAGAAGGGCGGGATATAAATTCAATAAATAAAATAAATAAATAATAAATAATAATAAATTACACTCTGGACCAACATCTTCTGGATGCTTGGACTCTTCATTATTCAGATGATATTTATAAATTCCAAGTAGGCAATGCAAAATTGTCTGCAAAACGTGTCAGTTTGAATATTTCAAGCAACTTGGCACTCTTTTAATCTCCGAACCATCCTGTTCTAAGATTGAAAGGCTTCTAAAATGTTTGAATAGTCTGTTTGCTGCTGGGATGGGAAATTTCGTATCATTTCAAGCTTGTAACAGTTTGAAAGATTATGTTTTGCGCGCCCCTAATTCAGAGATTGTTTCTCTATTTGCAGAAATGTTACAATAGTCCACAAAAATAAATATTGTATTATGTCCAATCATATCTTAGTACTCTTAAAAATGTTTTGTTAGTTGCTTGACAAAGAAATTATTTACATATGTGAGTTAGATGAAACACATAAATTGAAAGCATATACTGTATTTTGTACAAGTTCAAAGGCATAAACAAAACTTGAAAAACAAAATGTTGCATTTGATGTGTGTTTCCTTTCTCCAGTGAATCTGGAAGAAAACCTCTTCATTGTAAGGAAATCCAAGGAATTTAAACTTTGGAAATTAATTTGAATTGACTTTCTAAATAATATATGCATTGGATATTAATTTCTCTTCTTGTTTTGATTGTATTCACTTCTTGGTTCAAAATCTCACCTGCTTTTTGTAAATATTTGTTCATTTTTTTAAAAAAAACTTTATACTGTGACAGAAATGAGAAAGAACAGATATGAATTCATAGACATCTGAAAGTGTACTAGAAACAGACAAGAACTGAGCCCATGTGCTAGTTTGAACAATGCTCCTGAGAAAGATGTAAAATAAAAAGGAATTGTTGCCTATAGTAGTTATACTTAGGCTAGATATTAAGGAATCAGTGCTGAAAATGTAAATTGTCACATGAGCAATTGTATCATGTGAGGAATCACAACATAGAAGATTCATTTTCATATCTAAAATGCCTATTCAGTTGTTTACTTACAAATTTCAATTATGCAAACACATTCATTAGAAGCTTATATATCTTATGTATCTAAAATGCTTATTTAGATACATAACCATCAACATGTGTTCTAATGAATGCATTTACATAAATGAACTTTTAAGAATTAAACAGGTCTGCAGATTTATTTGTAAATAAATTTATTTATTTGCAGGAGGAAATCAAGAGGCTGGTTTTGAACATTTTTATTTGCATCTTGTTAACTCACTTGAAATTGTGAAGCAATATCAAATGAATAATATGCTTCTGATTAGACAACAATGTGTGTGTGTGTTTATCATTATTTTAGTGTACTCTATAGATGTTTGTGTTGCACATTTTTACTATTTTTTTAAAAGAAATCTCTCCAATAACAATGCATTGAGGGTTTCTCCCCCTTTGGTTTTAGATCCTGATGAAGTAATATATGATGATGTACCAAGAGAAAATTCAGACTCTGAACCAGGTATAAGTTTGAATTCAATTTTAATTAACAGTATTAGAGGAGAAAATACCGATAAATGTTCCAAGTGGAAGAAATGTTTAATTTTCCTTAGCTGTCCTACAATATTTCTTATATTTTAGGCTGTTGTCATATAGAATGGGGATCCAGGCAGAAGTCTTTGTTTTGCTTTAGAATGGCACGTTAGGGATTATGCACCTAAAATGATGACTGTGGCCTAATAAAAATTATATGGAAATGAAAATGTATCTCATTTCCATATAATTAAAATTAATAAAGATGGTTACTCTCCAGGCATTTAATAATTCAATAATTGTGGAGGTTTTTGAAGACTCATCAATGATTCTGGATTGTGTACCTATTTTTCAATTATGTGCTTATAGGCAGGACAATCAAACCTTACCGAAATGAAAAATTTAGTTTGAGGTTGATTTAGATCAGGGAAGTACCATATTTTTTGGACGATTAGATGCACCGGACTGTAAGACACACCTAGTTTTAGTGAAGGAAAACAAGAAAAAAAATAGTATTTGGTCTCCGTGTATCCCGTTTTTGCCCTCCCCGGCTTCCAGATGCACTCTGCAGGCCAAAAATGAGCCCGTTTGTGGCCTGCAGAGTGCTTTTGGATGCTAGTGAGGACAAAAACAGGCCCATATTCGCTCTATAAGACGCACAGACATTTCCACCCACTTTTTGGGGGGGGGGGAGTGTGTCTTATAGTCCGAAAATACAGTAATTAGGAATGCACAAAACCTATTGTGTTAAGGTTGGAATGCTTTTATTTATTTATTGGTTGGTTGGTTGGCTTAAATAATTTATATGTCTGCCCATCCCATAACAGTGACTTTGGGCTGCATTTGTGTTCTGAAGAACACTGGAATGTTCTGTTTTTCTTCCCAACTTACACATAGACTCATCCATTCCAGAAGTTGTTGCTGTAGTTGGTAGTTTCCAGGCAATAGTTTGTGGTCCAGAAGAAATATGGAATGTTCAAATGTTCCCTAGAACATTCTCTCTCTCTCTCTATGGACTTCCCTAGAAATGATATCTAACAAAAGGAGTAATCCTGACATAATCATTACTCAGTTGGAAGGGATGGTCATAACACTGAAAACCCTAAATCACACAGCACCAGGATACAGCACCAGTCAGGCAATGCCGTGCCAAAATTGAATCTGGCCATCCTAGCCAAATCTTGCCTGGTCACCGAGGGCGGGTCTGTTGAAGCTTCTGCTTCTAGTTCAATTCCATAAACCAGTAAAAGCCATTTCATTTCACCATCCTTTTGGTCTCAGCTGATTGACTGTAGACACCTATGTTCGGCTTTATTTAGGGCGTTGGCTTTGTTTTTTAATACTATTCTGGATTTAATTATTTTTATGAAGTGGTGTCTTTGATGTTGATGTTGTACATCACCCAGATTGGATTTGTTTATATCTGAATTTTTTGGTAATTAATTAGAGACACAGTTTTCCTTTTTACTTGATGTTGTTCCATCCTGCACCTTTTCCTTCAAATCGAGTATCATATTTTTTTCAAGATTGAGGGAAGTTGTGCAAATACAATTCCCAGCAACTGAGCCACCACGACAACTAGAAGACCACTGAATGTTTATGTCTGTGATAAGTGATGTTGTTGTGACACTACAGTAGACAATCTGATATGCAAACTCCTCACTCTAAAGGATTCTTCCCCTCTCTTTATCATTATCATAAATCAGATTGAATATGTACCAGTATAACAAAATATTATAAGAAAATTTTCTTCTCTTTTCATTGCTCATTTTATGTCATCTCCCCTCCCTTCTTGCACTAGGACAGATGGGGTAATATTTTTCTAAACAAGTGAAGGATTTGCCAAAAGTAAATGTTATCTCAAACCTGTTGTTTTGTGCTTTTGTATATTGACTTATATACAGTTTAAGTCTGCTGTTACCCATAATTTTTTTTCTGGGAATACTACTTATCTGATGTGTTGACGTAATATGTTGTCCAGATCTTTCTTCTGGTCCTTCATCTCTATGTAGAATGCCTTGATCTCAGTTATATTTCATATTGTTGCTCCCTGCCATAGTTATTTTAGAACGTTTAGATTATTCATAGCCTATTCATACTTTGGGCCACCCATGATAAAAATCATTGCCAAGAGAAAGATTTCTTGATTTTACATTTAAGCGTAGATATATTTTTTCTGAAATTCTATATATGGTAATATTGTATGCCACTAGTGCATACTAACCGGGGGAAAATACACAATATAAATATTATATAAATACACAGTTTGACTGAAATCAGCTGTTTCTATTTTGCCAGGTAGTTTTTTTATAGCATTACTTAACTTAATTCACCCAACCCCTTTGACCCTAGGATGACTCTGGATGGTTCTTAACCGAGATTCTGCAGAAACCTAGAGTTCCATGAGAGGTCGCTAAGGGTTCCCTGGGAGATCATGATTTTTTTAAAAATCACACGAACCAAACAAAAACCCTCTAAACTCCAACATTGGGTTGATCCACTGGAGTGTTTGCCCACCATGGGCAGGGATTGTGCATGCACATGCAAGCAGGGAGGTAAGCCAAGTGCTAGCTGATGAGTGAGCTGAGGAGGGAGAGAGGAAGGAGCAGCAGATGAGGACAGATGCATCAGAGAGAATCAGAGACTCTGCTGAGGCCTCTATACCAGGGCTCCCCCTGCTGGTGTGCCTACCTTCCTGCAGGTGTAGTGGCCCACTATCTCAAGACAGACCCAGGAAATAGAGGACTGGGCTGGCCCAGACACCAGTGCAGCATGCCTGCCTTTCTGCAGCAGCCCAGGGGGCTCTAACTCAGGGCAGGCACAGGAGAACTGAACTAGTTTCCAGTTAGCTTTCCAAGTGCAGTTCCAAGTGCTAGTATGACTTGGCTCCAGACTATCCTTAGGGCCATCTTGTCCAATTAAACTTGACCAGGGACATTTATTTTCCCAGGGAGAAACATCTGATAATCTCACTTTCCATGAGTTACATAGTATGGAAGCATGTTTTTCCCCTTTTATTCCATTCAATCATATCCAATTCTCAGAGGTGGCCTGGATACATCCCTGCAGTTGGCAAGTTTTTTCAAAAGTAGTTTGCCATTGCCTCCTTCCTAGGGCTGAGAAAAAGTAACTGGCCCAAAGTCACTCAGCTAGCTTTGAACTCATGGTCTCCCAGTTTCTGATGTCTTAACTATTACACCAAACTGGCATGGAGTTTTCATGGAGGCATAGAGGGTGTGCTATTCTATGGTTAGCATCTGTATTTCAGAATAACTTTCCACTTGAATTTAGGTTGTCTTTTACAATTTTTGTTTTCAGAAAAATTGTCCTGGTGGAGCAGTGCCTATGTTTTTGAGTTTTATGATTTTATAATATTTTTATTTATTTATTTATTTGTTTTATTTTAAATTTATATACCGCCCTTCTCCCTGAGGACTCAGGGCGGTGTACAGCCAGAATTAAAAAACATGAAATACAAATATTAAAAAACAATTAAAATATATATAAATTTGGCCCAAAATTAAAAATACAAACAGATTTTATTTTTTTTAAAATTGCGAATGTTTTTTTTTTTGTTTCAATAATATAAATCATTAATAACCTTTGAATTGTGAAAGTAAATGGATAGATAAATTAAAATGGAGTTTGTAAGAGATGAAGTAAAGGAAGGAAATAGTCATTCTTAAACATACACACAATAAAATATATTTTAGTTTATGACCAGATTTTTTAAAAAATAAAATTATGACTTTTTAAATTTAAGCTGCATTTCCTAGAGATTATATTTTGTAAGAAATCCTAAGCCTGAAGTTCAAATTTTAAAATTGGTGCATTGATAGTAGACCTTTCCTTATAAATCTCTCATTATTTTTCATTCCTTGGACTGAAAATAGCAAAGAAATATTTTAATTTACAGTCATAGATATTTGAGACAGAATTTTTCCATGAATAGAACTTAATTATATTTATATTTTTAATGGATGTAGAGGAGATGATTTATGATGATGTTGAGAATGGAGATGAAGGTGGAAATAGCTCTCTAGAATATGGGTGGAGTTCCAGTGAGTTTGAAAGCTATGAAGAACAGAGCGACTCAGAGGGTAAAAATGGAATACCCAGTTCTTTTCTGCGTGGCAACCACAGAAGACAAGTATGTAATTCTCATGGCTTTTTCTAGCATATTTGTGCTTCCTAAAGTTGTAGTAGGTCAATGTTTATATCATCCAGTTGCATTACATAATTCCAAGCTATAACAAGTACATAAAATGTTAAGCAGTTGTGAAAGAAGTAGTAGAATATCCCATGGCACTGCATAAAATGGAAGTATTAGATTCTACCCTAATACAGATGCTCTTATTTCCTGATATCCCATGATGTAGTTTATATACAGTGTATAGTAGAAGTTATTCGGTATGATGAATGGTACCTACAAAGGGAGAGGTGGTGAGATAGATTAGTGAAGTGGCTATTTCTCAGCAAGGAGGGAGCACATTCCAAGGGGAGTGTGAATGTCAACAGTCAACACAGCCCAGAGGTGGATAGGAGACAGAGGAACAGATTGAGGATAGTTACTCCCTAGAACCTCTCGGTGTTCATAGGTTAGTAAAGATTTAGTCTGGTAAGATTCTATTGGTGTGAAGAAATAACTGAATTTTGGCTGGATTGTTCTATGTCATTCTTGGGCTGAGCTTGACACTGTTATCTTATTATGATTCCTAATATTTAATATAGTGTTTAATTCATTCCTTTATAACTCTCTGTAACAACTAGCTGAACCCTCAGATGCAAGTAATGTTCTAGCTTCACAACCCTATAGTACAAGTGGACTTCATTTTATGTTTTCAAAATTCAGCACACTTCAGATCTGGCCTGAAAGAATTGAAAATATAGTGTCTATAAAACCAGATTGACCACAAATTGATTGCAGTGTTCAAGACATGTAAGGACAGTATGTGACTCCTTCTGGAAACGCTAATAAACTGAATAAAACTCTAATGAGAAGAATGTGTAATTATATCACACACAAAAATTATTTCAGTTCTCTAATTCTATGGCTTCGAGAATCCTAAATTAATTCCTTAAAGTTAAAAAACAGAAAATAAACTATACAAGTTGCGATATGAGTTCTAATCCTATCGTGCTCATGAAGTCCCATGGGTAACTGGCCAGTCACTTTCAGCCCCAGGAAAAGGCAAGGGCAAACCACTTCTAAAAAGCTTGCTAAGAAAATTACAGGGACTTCTCTAAGCAGTGTCCAGGAGTCAAGGCTGACTCAATATGCTCTACACACATACACGCACACACACACACACACACACACACACACCCTCTGGTGATAATTCCTAATTAAATTCCTAATTAAAATACTTTAGGAGGATCCCAGGATAAAAATCAGATGAGACAGCCAAATCTACCTGTCTCTTGGAACTTTATGAAAAAAAGGGTCAAGCAAAGTGTATTTTAGTTTCAGTGATTCTCCAGCGCGCTTTACTGAAAGCTGTGTCTAAAGTGGTTCTTATCCACAATTTCCTTTTCTATAGCATACCCCCCATCTTTCATGGCAAAAGGCTAACAGAGATCTCTATACCTACTAACTGTATAATTAATGTTGGCTGTGTATTATATTACAAAGCTGGCTTTTTAGTTAAGCTGAAAGTTTTCTTAGCCGTATACCCCAAATTAGTCCAGATTGGAGAAGGTTGAAGTAACAGAGATAATATATGCATTGCTGTAATGTCCCTTTAATAATTGGTCTAAGGCCATAAGTAAAGACTTTATTTTTATTTATTGGCATCCCACCTTTATTATAAATAACTCTAGGCAGCTAATACAGACTATTAATAATTTCTTCCTCATCCTGTTTTCCCCACAACAACCCATGAAATGGGTTGGTCTGAGAGAGAGAGTGACTGATCCAAGGTCACCCAGGTGGGTGTCATGGCTAAGGTGGGACTTGAACTCTCGGTCACCCAGTTTCTAGCCTGCCGCTTTAACCACTAGACCAAATTGGCTCTCTACCATATACCGCATACGTTTCTTAAATATCCCAATCCTATTACATCCAACTGCTGTTTCTTAGAGCATCCCCATGGTCACATGATCAAAATTTGGACACTTGGCTACTCGTATTTATGACGGTTGCAGTGTCCTGCTGTCATGTGATCACCTTTTGTGGCCTTCTGACAAGCAGAGTCAATGAGGAAGCCAGATTCACTTAATGACCATGTTTCTAACATAACTACTGCAGTGATTCACTTATCAACTGTGGCAAGAAATGTAAAATGGGGCAAAACTCACTTAGTGATAGAAATTTGGGGCTCAGTTGTGGTTGTAAGTCAAGGACTACCAAGGAGCAAAATATATCCTTTTTTTACATTGCCATTCTTTTTTTTTTCCCCTCATCTGGCCCCCAGCAGTTTGTGCACATACAGCCCAATCACTTTAAATTTTAAGATTGTATCTTTTTGTGTGCTGCAGTTCTCTCATGACTTAACCCGTTTAAAGGAGCACTATGAGAAAAAGATGAAAGATCTGATGACCAACACAGTCGGAGGAGTAGAGATTCAGCAACTAAAGCAAAAACATGAGCTGAAGGTAACATTGTTGATTTTCTAACCAGATAAATGTTAAAACGATTGTTCCACAGACATAATGAATGTGTGTTTTAGTAAACGAAGCTGATGGAAAAAATAGCATGTGTTCACCCTGTGCTTGTTTACATTGCTTTCACCTTAAAATAACTTTACCAGGGGTTTTATGCCAACTTTTTGGACTGCTGTTTTAATATTTAGAGAATGAAAAATACAGTTAATTTTCTTACTGGATTTTTTGGCTATGCTGTTGCAGTTTAATTCACCTAGACGAGTCGTTCTTCAGTGGATATCTCTCTGGAAGATCATGTAGATTTTAGCTTTTGGGGGAGTTTGAGTTTAAATAAACGTGGTTGTCGTTTTTCTTTTTCAGTATAAGTATCCTTTAGCATTAAATAGTTAACGTCTAATTGGGGATACCAGCATATTACTTTATCTTGTTATGGAATCAGAGGGGAAAACCCTTTCCATGAAGGAGCAGAGAGAGTGAAACTGCAAATGCAAGTGAAAATTGAGAGCACTGTCCTTCTTTCTCTCCAAATTTGGACATGCATGGTGAGCAAGAAAATTCTCATACTGGTTGGCTCCTTCCCCAGTTTCTGGAAGATTCGTACAATCAAAGAAGGAGTAGGATGGTTTCTATAAATGTTAATTTGTTATGCTCATCCTACTTCAAGTGAGTTATAAGTTCCATAAAAATAAGCATTAAAAGTTTTGGTAGTTTCAAGAACATTGTAGTCTAACGTTCTGATCTCTTTTTTGTGCATATTAAACTTAACTTGGAGATTTGGTATCTTGATGTTAAAATAGGTCTAGAGAGAAATGGAAGAGGCTGGTATAAAAATTGCAAGGTGGAATAGCTTATTTAAATTCTGTTACGGAGCTTAAATACTAGAAAACACTGTGTGTATGTTTTCATTGCCTCCTGTATGTATAAATATGGAAGATATGCCCTAAAAAAAAGCTGGCATATTAATGACCAGGCATTAATCATTAGGATAGGTTGTTGCCTTTGGTCTCCACAACCTGACATTGTTCTTTTTACAAGCAGTGCTTATCATGTGGTGTCTGCTATAACATTTGTAACACTTTGAATTCCACTCTGATTACTCACTGAACTTGCAGGATCTGTTTGTCCCTGTCTTGCAGATGCAGAAGCTCATGAGAGCAGCAAGGGAGGGCACCAAAGACGGGCTTGAAAAAACTAAAGCGGCTGTGAAGAAAGGCCGGTCATTCATCAGAACTAAGTCCTTTATTAGTCAAGGTATGCATTGATCATCCGCTACGTCTTTTTAGACCGATGTACTAATTAACCATTTAAAGCAAAATAGCATTGAAATGTTTTAACTATTTATGGTATCTTTCAAACCACATTGCTTCAGAAAATGGTCTTAGCTCATAGGTAGATTTTCAGGTAAGGAAATATTAACTGAACTTATTCTTGGAAAAAAATAGAATTGATCTTAAGATTTAAAAAGTGTGTGTGTGCAATTAAATTGAGTTTATTAGCTGAATAATTGAAATGAACTGAAATTGAAGTTTCACTCTCAGAAACGGAAAAGGCATTGATGATCTTGACTGGGATTATAATGTTATTTTTGTTACTTCTGCTGTTAAAATTATATTGCTCTGGATGAACGTGCTATGGTTTTTGACTGAAGATGTGAAAATGATAGGTCAACTCTGCGATTCAGTTGAGGCAGTTTCTCAAATCAAATCAAATACTCTAAAGGTTATACATACAATTGACTACTTAATTTTCATTAATGGATGTTTTAGAGGAAAAATCTTTGGACTTCACACACACACACATACACAACATGCACACCAGTTTGCCACACATGGCAAGCAATATTATACAGAGTATCAAAAGATAGTAAGGCAAAGAAATGAAAGGTATGGCACAGGGAAAAAAACCTATGGTATTATCGTTTATAGAAACACCATGTACTCCATCTCCCCAAATTTTCTGTCCTTACAAACTGTTCTTCCTTGCTTGTTCTTACCATGTTTGTTGCCACTTCCCTCACTGCTTTTTTAACAAAATTTCTTTTAAAGAAAACTTTCAAAAGTTTCTCTCTTTCAGGATCTCATCAATGACAGATATTCAACTACAACTTTTTTTGAATTTCCCTTTTCTCTTCACATACTTGTTTTGGTCCCCATCTGTGACCAAACTAGCTTGGTGTACTTTTTTTTCATACTGATCGTTCATTTTTTGTGTTGTGTCTACATTTATTTAGCATCTGTATTTTCTTGAAAAGAACCAGTTTGGTATAGTTGTTAAGGCACCAGGTTAGAACCTGGGAGACAAGTCACTTTTGAAAACCTTGCCAAGAAAACTTCAGAGACTACTCCAAGCCCTCTCTGAGAATCAGATATGATTGGATAGAAGAAAAGTAGTATATTCTTGATACATGGTCTTTAAATATCCTGTTCCCTCCGCACTTAACTTATTTTTACCTTTTTCTTGATATATCCAAGGCTACCTTCCATATTACACAATGAACAGAAGGAGATTTTAAATGAGCTTATTTTTGCTTCTTTTGTGAAACATTCCTCACAATGAACTGCATGCTACTAACTGTTACATTTATAGTAGCATTTGCAAGTCTAAAAACATGTTTCCATTTCTGCATCTTTAATAAACATTTTAAGAGACACAAATCCTATTCTTTCCTCTTAAGTTTTTGTCCTTTATTTTATAACTGGCAGTTCTTTGCTCCATTTTCCTGTCAAACCGCTACTTCATTGCCATGAATCTCAGTTAACAATCTGAATATCTACATAAAAAAAAAAAACACCACACATGGAAACTCCAAATACATTGAACATATATCATAGATCCATCTAACTCATCCTTAATGTTAAAACACTTGCTGAATATTCCATATTCTTCCATATTCTCTACTTCCACCTTATACTACTGTTAATCACATTCAGAGCAACCTTCAATTCTGTATTTAACACTTTTTATGTTGTCATCGCTATCCCTAAACCAGCAAATGTACAATCAACCTCCTTTCTCATTCATATACACTGCTCAAAAAAATGAAGGGAACACAAACAGAAGACATCCGAGATCTGAATGAATGAAATAGCCTTATTAAATACTTTGTTCGTTACATACAGTAGTTTTGTGTTCCCTTTAGTTGTTTGAGCAGTGTATAAATTACTGTATGTAAAGAACAAAGTATTTAATAAGGCTATTTCATTCATTCAGATCTCGGATGTCTTCTGCTTGTGTTCCCTTTATTTTTTTGACCAGTATATTTACCAATGATTGGTGAAGAACAAATATATGGTTTACAAAGCCCCTGCCTGCATAGAGCTGCACTGATGCATGACAGCATTCTGTGCATTGTAGATTCATGGACAGAGTATAAAGGTTTCCTACTTTAGAGAATTAATTATTCAAAAAAATATTGCTATATAAAAATTATTGGTAAATGTATATTGAGTTTTCCTTAAAACAATGAATTCAACATTTTTATTCAATAGTGGTGGAACAAATGCTAATCTTAACTGAGCAATACATACTTTTAAGACTGATTATCTTTTTATATGAAATTCTAATATGATTTATTTGTAGAACACAGAGCTACCTGTCTGGAGGAAGAGGAGCTATTTATTGATGTAGATTGCATGCACACAGAAGCAATCATGACTCCAATGCCAGATGGATTATCCCAACAACAGGTTTCTAATCTCGTCTTTTTGTACATACCTTAATTTCTAACAGTAACTTCACTTTGCTACATCTTATGTCTAATTTATGTACATTTGTCTCTCACAAAATTGAAATTCAAATGAAATTAATTGTCTTGATTGTTGAGACAAATCCTGACATGTGATAAATCCCTTAAGTAGAGTCTTCGAAGAGAAACTAAAATACAACTTAATTGCATGAACTTCTGTGACTTATATTTTGACATGTTCTTTCCTGATGGAGATTTTCTTCAAATCTTGCAATTAGTAACAGACAAGTCAATACATTATGGGGATGAAAAACATTTAATTCTGAACATGCTGCTGCTTGCCACCAGATGGCATAGTTAATCACTTGTGTGTGTCTTTTATTCATTTCCTAGATAAGAAATGCTAGATTAAACAATTTAGTTCAAGCATGAATTGACTGAAGGTCTGGGCTCAATTTAGCAAATAAACTTGACTTTTATTGGGCAATGATTTCAAAGTGAGATTTCTACCTTCTTTTGCTGGTATGAGAATTCATGAAGGCCTCACTGTTTTTTAAGATTTTTTTTTTAACAGAATAGGAGTAAACCTGCAGGCCCTCTGTACAGAGAGAATTAATCCAGTTTCATAGAGAACATGAAATACTGACTTAAAAGAGAATAGAGTGAAATTATATCTGCTGCAGAGGACTGCCCCAAAACAATGTATGATTGGAGAATTATGATAAATGATCCCAGAGACTAGAAAGTAGTCCTGTCAATCTATCATTCTTTGTAGACTTCTCATCCTACCTTTTTTTGCTATGGAACTGAGCTATATGCAGCTGTTATTACAGACCATAGAAACCTGCTTCACAAATAATGCTAAACCATTATTGTGGATTATTCTGAGTTTCCTGTGATAGAGATTAAACAGTCCTCAATTTACAACAGTTCATTTAGTGACCATTCAAAGTTACAACAGCTTTGAAAAGTGAAAAGTGACTTATGACCATTTTCACACTTATAACCATTGCAGCATCCCCATGGTCATGTAATTTATATTTGGATACTTGACAACTGGTTCATATTTATGACAGTTGCAGTGTCCTGGAGTCATGGGATCACCTTTTGCGACTTTCTGACAGATTAAGTCAATAGGGAAGACAGGTTCACTTAACAGCTGTGTTATTCATTTAACAACTGCAGTGATTCACTTAACAAATGTGGCAAGAAAAGTTGTAAAATGAGGCAAAACTCACTTAACAAATTTCTCACTTATCAACATAAATTCTGGGCTCAATTGTCATAAGTCGAGGACTACCTGTATATGTTTAGAAACATCCTGGCAGATACATATAGATATGCTTCCTGTCCTATAATCCTAATTTTGTTCAAATTGTGCTATAGGAATCTGCTGTATCTTCAGAGTGGCAAAATCAGCCACATTTCTATGTATTTTGCTGGATTTTACTGCACTCTTTTTTTTTTTAGTTCAGAAAGATTTATTTTTGTTAACCATTATTAAAACTATTTTTAACTCTTCTTGATAGATCTTATTTCATATTGCTTACTTAAATTGTATGTAGTTGTTTGATCAAAATACTGAACAAACATGACTTGCTGGGATTTACAGTTGTGGAAACAATGAATGAAGACTCTTCCCCCAACCCATTATTTTTGTTTCTCGTGTGCAAAGTGCGTATTTCTTTTATTTAAAAGTATAAAAACTCCAAACATGTAAATATGTTGCCATTTTGCTGCTTTAGCTGAGAGTACTTTAAAACCTACAGGGGCCCTCGATCTTCTTGCAGTTAGGATTAAAATAGCTACTGGCACTTGTTCTGGAGTTGCAATTTCTCCATCTGTTTTCATCTTTTTGGAGAGAATGGTGTGTAATTAAGCAAAGCAGCAGGTTTAGTTGTCTGTGAATGTGAGACTGCAGGAAACAGATTTTTATTCAGTGCAGTGCAAACCAAAAGGTAATTCTGGGTATGAGTGACTGGAGGGAAGTTAAATAACACGACTTCTTTTTACTATTTCCATACTTTTTAAAATGTCTGTTTGCTAGATAAGTATTATTTTAGCTTCTGACCAGGTTTTTTCTCTTAATTGAGCTTACCTTTTTGTTTCTCCCTGTTTCTTTCTCTTTTTTTTTCTGGAAGTTTTCTTTTTAAATATGGTATTTTTTTCATAACTTAGATGTTCTATATAGATGTTTATAGCAGAAATGGTATACAGGTAGTCCTTGATTTACAACTATTCATAGTTACATTGGCATTAAAAAAATGACTTATGATCGATCCTTGAACTTACAACCGTCGTAGTATCCCCACGGTTACTTGATCAAAATTCAGGTGCTTAGCAACCAACACATTTATAATGGTTGTAGCATCACGGGTCATGACATCATCATTTACAACTTTCCCAGCCAGCCAGATTTGCTTAACGACCGCATGAGTCACTTAACAACTGCAGTGATTCGCTTAACAACTACGACAAAAAAGGTCAAAAAATTGGGAGTAATTGCCTTGCTTATCAATGGAAATTCTGGTTCAAATTGTGATGATAAGTCAAGGCCTACCTGTGCATGAAGTTGAAAGATAAGGAATAAGTCTCTGAAATAATGGATACACTTTTTATTGATGAAATTGTCTTTCTGGTTTCACTGAGTTATAACTGACCAGATTCTCCGCTTTATCAGACAGAGGTGACAAAGACTATTTGAGGGAGAATAAATGTTTGTGCAGAGATATCCTTGAATGGCAAATTAAGGGTATGATTGTGCCATGTTTAATATTATATTTTAACAGGTTGTGCGAAGATACATTTTAGGCGCTGTGGTTGACAGTGAAAAAAACTACGTGGATGCTCTGAAAAGAATATTAGAGGTAAGTAATTGTCATTTTGAAGCCAAATAAATATGAGGAGAATTGAATCTCATTTGTATAATTTATTATTGCTGATGTTTTTGTTTATAGTAGTGAAGATAATTCATTTGATTATAGCTTTTTATAATTACTTGATGTTCTTTTAATTTTAGCAATATGAAAAACCTCTTTCAGAGATGGAGCCCAAATTACTGAGTGAGAGGAAACTGAAGATGGTCTTCTATCGAATTAAAGAAATTCTTCAGTGCCATTCAATGTTTCAGATGGCCCTGGCAAGCCGTGTCTCGGAGTGGGATTCTGTTGAAATGATTGGTGATGTCTTTGTTGCCTCAGTACGTGAATGATCATAGCTTTGGGGTCACTTAAGTCTGTTTAATTCATAAATAGGCTGAATAAGTGAAATTCCAAAGAAGAACAAAAACCGCTGTCCCAAGGTCAGATAAGATTCCTTTGCGCTCCTAAAGACAAATGGTGGCAACATTTTGCTTATTGTGTTCCTATTTTGGTTTTTATTTTATCTTCCTTTGGCACTGGGATGAATTACAAATACTGTGAAGAAAATAAAAAAGTTAATAAAATGTCTGTCAGGGAATTGTGCAGCAGGTGTCCAAATGGAGCCAGAGATGCTTGACACAAACTTGTAGATTTATATAAATAAATACATTTTGCATCAATATAAGCATCAAACAAGATAGTCAGGCAAACAGGAGCATCATGAGGTAGATTACAGAGTGCACAGGGCACAAAGAAGAAAAAGGCGGGAAAAAGGGAAGCTCCCCCTCCACACCCATAGCAACCAATCACAGCACAGGTTGCCTCACGCAGGAATCAGCAGTCTAGTAACAATCAACTGCAACTGTGTGTTCTGGCTCACTGCACAACCCCACTGTTCCAGCTACTAAATTTAAATATCTTAACAATGTCATCCCCAGTTGCTATGACTATCACTTGGTTTGGGAGAGTTTAAACTTAGCTAAGTGTTTTAAGTGTATACTTGCAGTATTTAGGACACCCTAAAATCCCTACAATGAAATAATGCATTGATACATTTATTGAATCTATTTTTAAATGGACTCAGTTTGGAGTTTGTGCTAATAGTTTCCTAGCAACAAGAAGCATTCAATTTTAAGATCTTAAACAGAGGCTACATTTTTAAACCTTTCTGGCTATTAAGTCTCTGGTAATGTAGATAATAATTTCAAATGAAGGGTAAATAAACTCAGAAGCCACCTCACTCTAATATCAGACGTGTATATTTTTCAAAATATTTTCTGATTGCTAATTGGTTCAGAAAGTTAGGCTTCTCGTTTTTATTTTTATTTTAATCTTAACTGCATATCTTTCAAGTAGGAAAAACGTATTGTGAATCCTAAAACTAAAGTCTCCACATCCATCTTGTTTTCTTGACAAGGATATGAAAGTGATTCACCTCTGCTGCCTTCTGATGCATTGTTTGAACTTCCCAATCTACAGTAGTTGGACAACTCCAAGATTTTGTCTTCCTTTTCATTTCCTATCCAATTATTGTAGTTAAAAGTGACAGAGGTATAAAACAAGTTTCAGAATTAGATTTCCCAGACCTATTGTATCATGTTTTCAGACTAACATATTGTATTATAGGCTTTATGAACTGCACCTTACTTCATCAGATGGATGGACTTGCTTAAATGATACAGGATTTAATCAGACATTTCTTGATTTATTGTTGTAGTCTATCCAGGCTGTCCTCTTAACAACACAGTATCATAGTGACACTGAAATTATAAGGTATAATCTTAAAGGCAAATGTCAGAATAATATTATTTTATAGAAATAGCATGTCTGAGATTTCTCGGCAAAACCTCACTAATTCAGCCTTTTGTAGAGATCCTTAAAAAGTTACAGGTTTTGACTATATGTTGAGTATCTTGAATACTCTTTTAGAAATATGTGTTCTATATTGTAACTGACTGATAATGTCTGTTTATTTTTATTGTGTCATTTAGTTCTCTAAATCCATGGTACTGGATGCCTACAGTGAGTATGTAATCAATTTTAGCACAGCTGTGGGGATTCTCAAGAAAACATGTGCTACAAAACCTGCCTTCCTTGAGTTTTTAAAGGTGAGCATTTTGGGTTTTGGTTGCTTTGTGATTGTTTGTAGACCATCAGAGTAACCATGACTATCTGGGAGATTGATCACTGACAAATATTGAACATCCAGTGTTTAGCTCAGCTTTAAGATAGTCATGAATATGTGTTTATGTTTAGATAGTTGTTGTTCAGTCACTAAGTCATGTCAGACTCTTCGCAACCCCATGGACCATAGCACACCAGACCACCTGCCCTCCACTGTCTCCCGGAGTTTGCCCAAATTAATGTTGCATCAATGACACTATCTAACCATCTCACCCTCTGCTGTCCCCTTCTTCCTTTGCCTTCAATTTTTCCTAACTTCAGGGTCTTTTCCAATGAGTCCTCTCTTCTCATTAAGTGGCCAAAATATGAGATGTACATTTTATCTATACTTCTTTTGAGAAAATCTCAGTGGCTAATATAAAAAAACTCACTTTTTTATTACAGCAATGTCAAGAATCTAGTCCTGATAGAATCACTCTTTATGGCTTAATGATGAAGCCCATACAACGTTTTCCTCAGTTCATTCTTCTATTACAGGCAAGTCATGTATCAATTCTTAAAATTGCTTGAGTTTGCCATCTTTCTTGGTTGCTTGCTAAATAGTAATGGCTAAAACACTAACATGGTAATAGGATCTGATTGTTAGTTGTTTTGTTAATTGAAAATCAATTATGTGACTAATTTTTGAGTTGTACCTGAAAGTGCAGAATTTATTCTTTAGTTCATAGGATTATTGCTTGGTTTTAGAGTAACCCATGTTGGTTTTTTTGTATATGACAGTCACAACTTCTTAGCCATTAATTTTCTGGATATTATGTGTTGCTAGTGTTCTTATAAAACATTGAAAGGAACTTTAGGATTTCTTGAAAATCAATATCACTTTGAGTTTAGGATAGAGATACAGTATGGAGACAGTTGTCTCTATTGTCAACGATGGCCCATTCTGTTATTGTCAGATCTGTTGGCCAATTTTGATACTGTTCATCAAGGGTTATTTCTGAGGAGGCTAGTTTGCATTCTAGTTTGGCTAGCTTTTATACAATTCCAACCCTGTTTGAAGGACTGGGCTCTGTAAGTAATTATGAGCATCTAATTTTTAGCTCCTAGGCCTCCCTTTGTGGTACTCCACAAGAGTCCACCAACTGACATTTGCACTTAGAAGACCATGAGCTATCTGAAGCTCAACACTGATAACTCTGGTGTTAAATAGGGAGAAACATCTGAGAAAATGAACACAAGTAACTTGTCATTTCTTATGAAGCAAGACAAGGATTCTGTCCAAAGCTTGAGAGCTGAGTTTTATCTTAGACCCTTACCATGTCATCGTAGATAAGAGTCATGATCCAGAGTTGCTTTACTCAGTTGAAGCAATTCTATTAGGTCTACTCTGCTCTTCCACACACTAGTCTTATCATGTCATGTATGTGCCAGGCATCATATTTATGTTAAGTTTCCAATACATTTTTAGTAACTTCAGTCAGTAAAGAATACAGCAGGTTGATTGCTGTTTCTTTTCTATCGCCCCATTGTGCATAATCATTCAAAAATTAGAACTTAAAAAAGTTCTATTAACTGCATATAAAAGTTTTTATGACTCAAGGCAACCTCCAATTGTTTTGGAGGTTGGGTGGAATGTGCATGAATTAGAGCTTTCTGATATTAAAGCCTAAGCAGTAGAATTATTTTCTGGGCAGGTAGGAGGTTTCAACTGTAGATTATTTTAAACAGCTTTGGAAAGCTTTTAAATTTTTTGTTTTAATTTTTAATATTAGGCATATTCATTCATACATTTATTTATTTATTCATTCATTCATTAAATTTTTATGCTGCCCATCTCCCATATAAGGTGACTCTGGCAGCTTACAAGTTATAAATCAAGTGTAAAAATAATTAAAACATTAAAACTACACAGGTTCAGATTTTAAAACTACTGAAACCAGAACTAAGAGGTGGATGAGACGGGGATGAGGTCTTCTTACCACGTCAGCTACTTCCTGTTGTGATCGTCTCTCTGGGGACCCCAATAATCTATAATTATTATATTCACCTGTTTTATGATCCTAGTTAAATGATATTGATGCAATTGAATGCTATACATGTAAAAAAAATAAATTATTCTGCCAGATCCTATGTCAAGAAATGATACTATGCCTTGTTGTCACCTGCATGAAAATTATAGTTATTTTTGTAAATTGTAAGAAAAGAAGAGTGGAATGCAAGAACACTCCTGATCCAGTAGCTACAATGAAAGCAGTGGCAATATAGATAGTTACATATTTATACTGGTCCTATTAAATTGCAGTATTGTAATGTGTAGTTGCCAGATTAGACCAATGTCAGACTCTGTTGAGCAAAGAATATAAAATCTCAGTCCTTTTGTCTTCTACTTTTTCTGGCCCCTGGAATGACATCCTAGTGATGAGGCATATCTCTAGTGTAACTATGAAGATTGCTAGTAGTACGTAAGTTGATTACTATTATATTAAAGGAGCCCTAAAATCTTTCATTTCTTGGCAGTTACACCGAAGTGCCAGCTTCGCAGATGATGAAAAGTTCAATTGTAGAAATGGAAGTTGTATGAAAGCAGATTTTCATGTTGTCAGAAAAGAGAAGAGTAGGATGCTATGGAAAGAGAAGTCCCAAAAAAAAATGAACTCAATAAGGGTGGGAATTTCTTTTAAAAAATGAGACACTAGAAGCATAATTACAATCATTTCCAATGAGAAGGAAAAATCCCCAAGAAAAGCAATAGACGCCCCAAGAAGCTTAATGAAGTTCTGAAAACAAAGGAACGCAAGAAATGGAAATAAGATTAAGTCACAAAGAGAACATGGGCATATAGTTTGGAGCTGATATGAGGGAAGATATGTGGGCTGAGGTTAGCAAAGGATGCAAAATATAAGGCTTCTTAAGCATGTTCAAAAGAAAAAAATCCTGAATTATTTTATTTTAGTCTCTTCTATTTGTCTCATTAGAAAATTGTGAAGGGCAGATTGAAGGTGCAGAGTTGAATCCTTAGAATAATAGAAATGTGGTCGAGGAATATGTTACAAATGAGTTTAAAACTGCAGAACTAGTTAGAGTGCATTCTTTGATAATGAAGGCCTTGAATGAGTGAGGGAATTAGTTGGTTAGTCTGGCGAAACCCCTAGATATTATCTTTGAAAAATATTATACAACTGATGAAGTGGCAAACAACGGGACAAGAGCAAATTTTGTCCATGTCATTCCAAAATGAGGGGGGGGGGAAGGATCTGATGCTAGTACCTGGGAAGATCCTAAAACAGATAATAAATAAATGTATTTTCTAGCTCCTTGAAATGAATATGGAATAAGACATGGATTTGCCAAGATTAAAGCTTGTCAGACTATTCTTTTCTTGTGATTTGTCTGGGTAATTCCTTAATGGACTGTTGTAAACATAATGTACCTTGATTGCAGTGAATCATTTTACAGAGTATTCCATAACATGTTGACCATCAAGCTAATTAGGCATGGTTGGCATGATAATTAAGTGAATATATGTAAGCCAGAAGTGTAATGTGGCTGCAAAAAAAGGCAAACGAAGCATTAGGCTGCATCAACCTTGGTTAATTTTAAATTATGGGAAACATTTATTCTTGTATGGTCGGGAAATGAGGAACATTGGGAAACTAAATCTTTCAAAGAAAAATGGAAAGAACTAGATATCTGAGGGGTCCTTAGTGCTCCCTGAGCTTGATTATTTTCTCGTAGACGTTTCGTTGCCCAAACTAGGTAACATCATTAGTGCTATGATGTTACCTAGTTTGGGTAATGAAACATCTGCAAGAAAACAACCAAATTCAGAGAACACCAAAGACCTCTCATTTCAACCCTGAGCTACAAATATCCTCCTTTATTAGCTAGATGTCTTTAACCTTGTGGGGAAAGATATCATATTCTTCAAATGACTTGAAAGAATGTCATACAGGTAGTCCTCGACCTACGACCACAATTTCTGTTGTAAGCAAGACAGTTGTTAAGTGAGTTTTGCCCCATTCTCTTGCTACAATTGTTAAGTGAAACACTGCAATTGCTAAATTAGTAACATGGCTGTTAAATTAATCTGGTTTCCCCATTGACTTTGCCTGTCAGAAGATCACAAAAGGGGATCACATGACTCTGGGACACTGCAACCATCAGAAATATATGCCAGTTGCCAAGCATCCAAATTTTAATCATGTGACCATGGGGAGGCTGCAACAGTCATAAGGGTGAAAAATGGTCATAAGTCACTATGTTTAGTGCTGTTGTAACTTTGAATAGTCACTAAATGAAAGGTTGTAAGTTGAAGACTAATACAAAAGAAAATGAAGACTTGTTCTTTCTCATTGTTTTGGAATAATTACTTTTAAATTACAGGAGGGCAAATTTCATGTGAGCATTAGAAAAACTTTTTAATTTCTTATGAGCAGTTTGATGTTGGAAACAATTGCCAAGAGAGTTTGTAACTGGATAGTATGGTGCTTTCTAAAATTAGTTAAGTGTTTCTCACTTGACATAGCAGACAAATCCTAAAAAGGATTGTATCTGTAGCTTTGGAAATGATAATTGTGAGACAGATAAATTTAAATGACTTCCTTTTTCTAGTCAAGAAAAATAATCTGAATTAGCTGGTCAGAGCATGGCAAAACTTTTTTCCCCCTTTTGTTCTGTCCAGGATATGTTGAAGAACACGATTAAAGGCCACCCAGACAGGCTGCCTCTACAGATGGCTCTCACAGAACTTGAAACACTGGCAGAGAAATTAAATGAAAGGAAAAGGGATGCAGATCAGCGCTGTGAAATAAAACAAATAGCCAAAGCCATGAATGAGCGTTATCTGAACAAGGTTTGGAGAATTGCACTGCTTGTTTTTCCCTTATTTCTCTTGTAAATAATGTTTGTTTATTTGAAAAATGTGTACAACTGCGTAGCTCACAAAGGTGACTCTGGACAATGTACAGAGATCGAAACCCAAAACAACATAGTTCATGAAATCAATATACAAACCATATATCAACCTCAGCATATGGTGACACATGCTGGGGTTGAAAATCAATTCCCCTCCAGTCAGTAAACAAAACAACCAAACAAAGGGGCCGGGGCCACCTTTGGGGCCAAATGTCTATGCAAGCATCCTGGTCTTTAATGTCTTGTGAAAGGCCAATAGGATCAGAGCCATCCAGCTCTCTGAGGGAATCCTGTTCTCTGGTGCAGATATGATGACAGAGAAGGCGTAAGTCCTTTGGTCCCACTGAATGACAGTGTATAATAGAGAAACCTGGAGCAGGGCAACTCTGCCAGTTCTGATGGATTCTAAAATGTTTAGGCTTTCTTAACTAATTATTCCCAATATGTATTTTATTCAAATACATCTCATTTGTTTCATGGACATTAATTGCCACCATGTTGATAGTACTGAATTTGGTTTTCTATCCCAAGTGGGGGAGGGGGGGAGCCAAAATGGGAGCATGTGTGATGAAGGTGCAGGAGTGGCATTACTCATTGGATAGATGTACAAGGCCCTGAGCGTCCTCCTTACACCATCTCTATTGGCATTCCGAAGACTAACCAATTTATTAACTCGGGGTTTCTTGAATCATAACCAATTTATTGAATGAAGAGAGTAACTGCATGCCAGTTTTTTTCCCCATCAGAAATCATCCCATTAATCCTGGCTGACCAATTACAATTTTTTGGGCAACAAACAATTCTAGGCAGTTTTATGGCTTGCTACTTGAACTATAATTTCTTTTGGGGTAAACTCGGGCTAAAAGAATTTAGGTCAGCCACATTCCAGCCCATAAAGGAGCTCACATAATGTATTCTAGGTGAGAACTAGGCTGATAGTTGTATATATTAACCTTCCCTGTGTAGCAACAAAGCCAGGTTTGCTGTTTGACCCTCCTCAGTTCTTAAGGGGAGTTTTAAGAGCCATTAAGGTGGCACAATAGTTAAAGTGCAGTATTGCAGGCAAACTCTGCTCATTCCAGGAGTTTGATCCTGACCTGCTCAAGATTGACTCATCTGTCTATCCTTCTGAGGTCAATAATGCTGACTCTGTAAATTCCTTAGAGTGCCATAAAGCACTCTAAGCACTACTATGAAGCAGTATATACGTCTAAATCAGCGGTTCTAAACCTGGGGGTCGCGACCCCTTTGGGGGTCGAACGGCCATTTCACAGGGATCACTAAAGCCCTCTCTCGCCCCCCCACGCCTTCACTCACCCTCACCCTCTGCCTCTGTTGGATCGCCAGTCGCCGGTCGCTTACCCCGCCCACTCCCAATCTATTGCTGCCTCCTGAGTCCCAGCTGATGGCTAGAGGAAAAAAAATTTGTTTAAATTGTTTAAATTCTTGCAGCGGTGCTTCAAAGGGCCACCCTACAGCTGATCAGTGTTAAAAGAAAACAAATGAGTAGACTGGTGCCTGCAAAAATAGAAAAAACAGCCCCTTTCCGCTTCAGCATAGGTTAATTACCATAAATTGATTTGATCAGCCTCCCGACTCTCAGCTGATTTGCTCTCAGCTGTTTTGCGGAGGGCTCTGTTGCTAGCTAGCTGCAAAGAGGTAAATTGCTGGAGCAGATTTTTTTTCCCCTAGCTATGCTGAAAAGAAATATAGAAATTGTAAAATTAATTGAAATGACTAAACACTGTTTAAATTTGTGAACCGGCCAAATACTCTGTTCAAAGAAAATACATTGTATGTTTGTATGTGTGTTTCTAATTATTGCTATTTATTCATATTTGTTCTCTTTTATTCTTTAAAGTTTAACAATTCATTCTTTATCTTAATATCTTTATATTTGTTTGGGGTTGGTTTTCTTCCCTTTCATCTTTTTTATTGTACAGCAATCTTTCTCCTCAAACCTACCACCTCTCTCTTTTCTTTCCTTCTTACTTTCTCTTCCCTCCCCTCTTCTTCTCCTCCCTACTTCCTCTTCCTTTCTCCTTCTCCTCCTCTCTTCCTCCCTCTCTTACCCTCATTCCTACTCTAATTTCCCTTCCCTTCCTTCATCCCTCTCTATTGCTGTATCCTTTTATGCATATGGACTACTCAGAGGGCTGAAAAAGTTATTTTTGACTGGTCCTCGCACTTTTGACCAGTCCTCGAACTTACGACTGTCCTCACATTTTACGTTTTTGCCCTATCTTGTCACCATGGTGAAGAGAAGCAGTTGTGAAATGAGTGACACGGTTGTTAAGAATGCTACAATGGGCATAAATGATGACCAGTCATAAGTGCAAAGACCGGTCAAAAGTGCGAGGACCTGTCAGAAATCACTTTTTTCAGCCCTCTGGGTAGTCCTTTTGTGCACATGGACTACTCAGAGGGCTGAAAAAGTTATTTTTGACTGGTCCTCGCACTTTTGACCAGTCCTCGAATTTATGACTGTCCTCACATTTTACGTTTTTTGCCCTATCTTATCACCATGGTGAAGAGAAGCAGTTGTGAAATGAGTGACATGGTTGTTAAGAATGCTGCACGGGCATAAATGTGAGGATGGTCATAAGTGTGAGGACCAGTCAAAAGTACGAGGACCTGTCAGAAATGACTTTTTTCAGCCCTCTGAGTAGTCCCTATACACATAACCATGGCCACCGGATCACATGACCAGCTAGCCACGCCCACCCAGTCACATGACCACCAAGCCATGCCCACAAAATAAGCCATGCCCACAGAACCGGTAGTAAAAAATTTTAGAACCCACCTCTGGTTGGGGGTCACCACAACATGAGGAACTGTATTAAAGGGTCGCGGCATTAGGAAGGTTGAGAACCACTGGTCTAAATGCTATTGCTATTAACCAGAATCCCCATATTTATGTGAACTTGTCCATGTAACACAAAGCTATTGAGATCACCACATCTGTGCTTTTATACTGCCCATTATATATGTAATTGAGAAACTTTAATTCTTTCTTTACTGTTATAGATCATGATGAAACTGTTCTTCTTGATTTTATCTTCTCAGATAAGGAACCATTAATTACATACAGTGTTGCCTGATTTTGGCTGGTGGCAATTAAAATTTGCATATAAATAATTAAGGGTACGGGGTATGGGTAAACCTGAGAATTCCTCTTATTTATTTATTTTTAATATTCATCTGTTTTTATGTCCTTTTTGTGGGCCTTCAGATCCCCCTCTTTAGTCTGTAGTCCTACTCTTAACATTAAGAATTTACTTAGACAAATTTCACTGTTTTAATATTATAGTATAATATTAGCAATCAATTAATTTACTTAACTTTTATCTCTTATAAGTGTCAGGGTTATTATTGAAATAGGTGGATGTTCCCCCCCTTCATTGTATTTTATGTTGATCCATGACTGAAATGAAATATTGATTGATTGATTAATGCCTGATTATCATGATCCTATAGATACAAAATTGTAAACGAAGAATTTTATTTCATGACAAAATTAACAAAATTCGATGGATTCATGAAACTGGTTCATATATTTTTAAAGCAGAATATATTCAGGTGTAAAAATACTATGTTATGAAATCTTTTCGTATTATTCAGTTACTCAGCAGTGGCAACCGGTACCTGATCCGAAGTGATGATATGCTAGAAACTGTTTATACAGACAAAGGGGAGATCATGAAAACCAAAGAACGGCGTCTGTTTATGTTAAACGATGTTCTCATGTGTGCTACTGTGCATATTCGGTAAGATTTTATAGTCACGCACTAAAATAATTGCCAAAGCATAAGAGATGAGACACATGAACTAGAAAAGGTTTTTTTGTATGTGCGTTCTGAGTCCATTTTACGTGGTTTTTGGTTGCATGTATACAATGGATTATAATTCAGGGCTCTTAGTGGCAGAGCACATTCATTGTACTGTACACAGAAAATCCCATGTTCATCTCTATCTTTGGGAAAAGTTACAGTGTAGGATATATAAATGCAATATATGTAGGACATCTAGATGAAATGGATGGCACACAAATCTAATAAATAAACATTGAGATCAAAGGTTGAAAAGTTGTAACTTAGTTCTCTCCACTCCTTCCCCAAATAAGGATTTTAAATTGAAGGAACAAAAGTAATACATAAAGGGGTGCATGGGCCTCATGGAAACAAGGATTCGAAGGAAGGAAGATGTTTTATTTCTTAAGAAAACTTATATGGCTACCCAACCCACAGTGACTTCAGGCAGCTTACAGAAATAAGTTTTCTCCTAAATTATATTGTTACTGCAACCCACTTCTCTCCTCCCCATCATTACATTTCCTAATGAAACACTGACCATACTAGGAAATTGAATAACATTGCTAAAGGAGATGGTTTAAGGGTCAGAATGGAATGAGTCCTGATTAAATAAAACTGATGTAGAGACAGTGAGATGTGTTAGAGATAATTTAAGAACTAGAAGCTTTTTATTAATTTCTTAACCTCAGGAAAAGTAAGGAAAAATGCCAAATTCCCAGTTGTCTACAGAAATGAAATTCATCAGTCGTGTAGGATTAGAAGACTCTGATGTTATCCCCAAAAAGCAAAGGTGTTTGTATCTAGTCTTTTAAGCCTTTTTCATTTAAAAGTCTTTTTCTAAACAATAAACTCTTCCAACTCTAGAATTGTGAGATTAATGTCAATCAAATATTTTGCAGGTCAGCTACTTTTTGCACTGCTGCAATATGTGTGCATCTTTACAGGCTTCTTTCCCTTCCTTTTTCTTCAAGAAGGGAAATGCACAATGTATGCTTGTAAGGAAGGAAGTAAAAAAGCAAAAACAAAAACTTGTTAGATCACATCCCTTACTTTTCAATTATTTGTTTTCCACTCAAAATCCTCACAGATATAAATACCTCTTTATTTAAAATATAAAAATGAGCTGTGGTGGCACAGCGGTTAGAATGCAGTGTTGCAGGTTGGCTCTGCCCACAGCCAGGAGTTCAGTCCAGAGCAGTTCAAGGTTGATTCAGCCTTCCATGCTTCCGAGCATTATTGGGGGCAATAGGCTGACTCTGTAAACCATTCAGAGAGGGCTATAGAGTACTACAGACTGGTATGTAAGTCTTAACTGCTATTGCTATTACTTTTATAGAAGCAAGAAATAAGGTCTATGCCACAGTCTCCTCAAATGATCATATATTGAACCACAAGGATTGATAGGGCTATCCAAAAAGTCGATGTTTATTTTTATTTTATTTAAGAAAGTGATATGATTGCCCAACATATTATCAGTGACACCAGGTGGCTCACAAAGATAAAAATCTAATATAAAAGAATAAAAAGCAATAACTCCCACCTCCTGGCGACAACAATTAATCAAATAAGCCACTTGATGGGATCCATCCTACTCTGGATTCTCTGGGCAAAAGCACCTTATGAAAAGAGTGTCAAGGTGGGGGTGGGAATCTTATTTCTACGGGGATTATGTTCCATAGGGAGGGAGCCACCCCTTCTTGGTCCCAGTAAATATATCTCCTTAGGAGAGAGGACCCGCCACATTCCTTGCTTCCCCTCCCTGGTAGGTTGGGTAGATACAGCCAGGAGAAGACGGTTATTGTTATCATTATTGCTATTCATCACACTATTAGTTAAAGTAGTATTTATTAAACTATCTTCATATAATAAATGCTTGGGAGTTGATGAACAGTTTGAAACTTTATGAAGGGATGGATGAACTGAAGAGTGTGGAGGCCCCTCGTCTATGCCAATTATGAGAAAAGCACAAGTTTTAAAATCCACAGTTTTGATTGAAACTGTCATATATAATGCATGTAAATACAGGGTTGCTGTTTCGCATTTTGCTTTGGGATCCAATGCCTAAATGAAATCTCTCTCTGATAAAATGATTGCCTACTCTAATACCACCGACCTTCAGTATCCACTGTGGTAGATTTGAAAGAGCTGTCCCTTCAGAGGGGATCTTATAACAGTCCTACATATCTGCTGCATTTTGCAATCTTCCTGTGAAATGCCTTGTTCTACATTTCATAGTCTCATGTAATTATGTGGGTGGGATATATCTGCAAATGTAGGCTGAGTAGATCTCTTGCTACACAGAAGCTCTTATCCAGCAGCATTCCTATGGCAACTGAATATGTACTTTGGCTCCACTGTCTTCAAGTAAACAGGCCTTGCCAGGGTAAAATTTCTCCGGAATAGTTTCCTTATTTATCTGTTTTTCAGCATCCATTGGAGCATTGGATTCTTTATGTCCAATGTTAGATTAGACATTTGGGATTTGGGGGTTTTCTTGTGCACGCAATTTTTTGTGTACAAAAGCCATGTTGCTCAGTGGTTAAAATGCAGTATTGCAGGCTAACTCTGCATTCTCACAGCAGGAGTTTGATCCTGACTGACTCAAGGTTGACTTAGCCTTCCATCGTTCTGAGGTCGGTAAAATGAGGACCCAGATTGTTAGGGGGCAATAGACTGACTCTATAAACTGATTAGAGAGGACTGTAAAGCATTATGGGTGGTATATAAGTCTTAAGTACTATTTTTTCTTCTTTTCCATTGGAGCGTTCCATCCAGTGTTGGATGTTTGTTTTTCTATTTAGTATTTTATTCTTGTTGATAAATGAAAATAAATATGTTTTTTAAAAAGTCTGTTATGATAAACATATTGAGTCAGTATTAGTCATATTAATTATCATCAGGAGTCCAGTTCTTTTGCTGTTTGCCTCTCTTGGATTTTTGGAAGATTTTTCTGCTTCTGTTTTTAACCCACTCACTTAACACTCTCCTCTCACTTCCTTGCATGCTTTATGTGATCTGGGAATATTACACACGCATATATTGATGTTTTTATGCTTTCCATAGCCCATCTGTGTTCAAAATCAATGTGTTTCCTCAAAATGCAGTGTCCTGTGGAACAATGGGAACTAATTGTGGCCTTTTCCTTTTTGATGATAACATTTTGTACTTCATTTTAAAAAATAAATCTCCAATTTTTTTTCCTGGAAATTTTTGCTCATTAACAAAAAAAATAATGTAGTAGAACATTTACAGGAAGTTTACTTGGTTTTAAAAATTAGAAAAATCTTCATGACACCTGCATGAACCATACCTTGTGGTTTTTGTTAATGCCAAAAAACAAAATAAGATAGCAGCATCTCTAAATCCAATTTTGCTCAGTGGGGCTTTTTCTTTGGGAAGTACTTGTAGAATTAGAGGAAAAAGTTATACACCAGGGAGATTTGTGTATGAGAAGATTTTTAAAAAGTCTGAAAATATAAGGAAAAAAAACGACCACTTGTCATCATTTTTGTGGCCTTTTTTCAGCTCTTCCCATGAAAATAGTGGTGTTGTGAGTGGCCAGAGGTATTTATTAAAATGGAGTGTGCCACTTGGGCATGTCGACGTCATAGAGTATGGAAGTAATGATGGCCAAGGTGAGAACTGCAGATTCCCTTTGCAGCCGTCCTCTGAGATCATGGTTACCAACGCCAAGCCAAGTAAGTCACAGCCGGTTATTATTTGTGAATGTACTTCTTTATTGTAGATGGGCTTGAAATGCTTACGAAGATCTTTACATTAGTTTTTTTTTTTTAATCTTTATACAGGTATTCCTCGACTTACAACAGTTCATTTAGTGACCGTTCAAAGTTATAATTGCACTGAAAAAAGTAACGAATGACCGTTTTTCACAAGATCATTGCATCATCCCCATGGTCACCTGATCAGAACTCAGACACTAGGCACCTGACTCACATTTATGACAGTTGCAGTGTCCCGGGCTCATGTGATCACCTTTTGCAACCTTCTGACAAGCAAAGTCAATGGGGAAGCCAGATTCACTTAACAACCATGTTACTAACTTAACAGGTGCAGTGATTCAGTTAACCACTTAGGCAAGAAAGGTGATAAAATGGGGCAAGATTCACTTAACAAATGTCTCACTTAACAACAAAAATTTTGGGCTCAGTTGTGGTCGTATGTCGAGGACTACTTGCATTCAAAAAGCATCTGAATGATTTCTTATGAGACTGGCATATATTTTATTGCAGTACAGTTAGTCCTCAACTTATGACTACAATTAGGCCCAAAATTTCTGGGACACTTAAGTGAGTTTTGTCCCATTTTATGACCTTTCTTGCCAGAGTTGTTAAGTGAGTCACTACGGTTGTTAGGTTTGATAAGTGAATCTGGCTTCCCCATTCATTTTCCTTGTCATAAGCTTGCAATAGGTGATCACATGACCCTGAGACACTGCAACCATCATAAATACATGCCAGTTGCCAAGCATCTGAATTTTGATCACCTGAACATAGGGGATGCTGCAATGGTCATAGTTGTGAAAAACAATCACAAGTCATTTTTTTCAGCACTGTTGTTACTTCAAATGGTCACTAAACAAATGGTTGTAAGTCAAGGACTATCTGTAGTACATATTGTGCTGGGCACCTTGTTTAGTGATTTTTCTTTTTGTGTTTGAGCTTCATGGGCATTCATTCACACAAGCTTACAACTAGACCAGGTCTCTTAAGCTTCTGCTTTCAGTAGCTGTTGTATATTAATCAGGATTATCCAGTGGAATTTGCAGAATTTCCCATATTGAAATGGATCCACTTAATCTGCACCCTTTGTATCTCCAAACCTATGTGACAGTTTCCCAATTTTTAATTTTTTAAACATTAAATCTATAAATAAGACAGATAGGGGAAGATCTTCTCGTACTCTTGTTTCCCACAATAAAAAGAAAATTCTACTTTTGTTACAAAATTGGTTTTACTGTATAGCTGAAGGATGATCCATCTTGATTCTTGTTAGAAAGCTGCAAGAATCAAAAATCAACAATGCAAGAAGCTCTTTAGTCTGGGTTGATTTTTGGTAAAGGGTTAGTGAAATAATTCTTCCTTGAAGTATTAAGCTTAATTTGGTACTTACATTAATGTTTCAGCAGGTGGCAGCACTTGGTTTTTAGCTAGCTTATACTCAGAAGCTAATCAGGGTTGCTGCCAGTTAGTGCTTAGATGGGAAATTTCCAGGATTGTAAATTACACTAAAAAATAAATAATCTCAGAAGAATGGATCTCAAGTTGAAGGAGAATTTTCTTTTTGCATTGCATACAGTGGTACTCCCGAAGTAGTGTAAATAATATAAAAAGCATGCAAAGTTTTTTTTAAAGACCCCCCCCCCCAGAAACAATATAGTACCGTCTGTCTTTTCCATTTCAGTCTAGAATTGAGGACAGCCCCTGTCTGCATTGTTTATTCCAGCTTTTCCATCCTGGTGGTCTTTGGATACTAAGACTATAAAAATCGTAACCAAATTTGCTAAGAATGGTTAAATTGTACTACTAACACAACTAGAAGGCACTATTTTCTATAAACGTATTGTTCACATTCTTGTTCATTATCTCTTCTTTGTGTAGCTTTTTTTTTAAAAAAATTCACAGTGGTGACACGAATAGGTGCTTTTTAGACACAAAATAGAATTGTGGACCAGAGAGAGGAAAAAGAGAGAAAGCACACAATGGTTAAATAAAGACAAGATAAAGATAAAAAAATAAAAATCTTGTCTAATCAGTATCCAAATTTAATGAAACATAATATACAATTTAGCTATTGTTGAAATTATGCAACTGTGTGGGTTGCAGTTTTATGTGCAAAACTGCACATTATGTGACATATTATGTGACATATTATGTGACATTACAATGAAGGAAAAGATATGAAATCTGCCTTAGCACCAATACCATTTGCTAATAACTTTATGATGCTATTTGGACTACCTTAGAAGTATGTTTCTTTGCAAAGCCATTTGAAAGAGGAATACTAAATTCTTTAGAACCTATCAAGGTGAACTATTAGAGCAATGTTTCTCAAACTTTTAAGATGTGTGGAATTCAACTCACAGAATGACTCAGCCAGGGTCATTGCTTTCCCTTGACCGAATGAAATCATTACGAATGAAATGAAAAAAAAAAACTCATTTCAAAAAGCAGAAGAGGAAGTTCTAGGTGCTGAAGCAGCAGCAAGTTAACCACACAGAAGGCAATTGGCATGCAACCCACATGACTCAGAAATTCTGACCTGCAACAATAACAGTCAGAAGAAATCCCATGAGCACTTGATACTTGAATGAGTTTTCGTTGTTAAGTGCACACAGTAACTGGGTTTACACATTGCACTAAGCCTGGATATGACTTGTTTATAAATGATGGGTTCTAGCTTATTACATTGAGTTAAAGCCAATTTTGATCTATGCTCATTGTTAAGCAAATAGCTTATTGTGAGGTATGAACCAAATCAGTAAGTATTTAGCTTTTTATATGCCATTTGCAAACTCTTTAGTTTCTTGGAGAAAAGACAGCTAGCTGCTCTGTTCTACTTTTATAGAGATGATTAGATTTTCTAAGAAATGTGAAGGGTTATGAAGAGAAAAAAAGTGTGTATAATGGCATGTGCCTGCTCTTTATTTCACAACATACGTTAAATTCCATGGTGCCAGGATACCTTAAAACTGTCCTGCTGAATTAAATTGAAATCTAACAATATTAATCTACTGATAAACAATAAAGAGCCGAGGTGGCGCAATGGTTAGAGTGCAGTACTGCAGGCTACTTCAGCTGACTGCTAGCTGCAGTTCAGCGGTTCAAATCTCACCAGGCTGAAGGTTGACTCAACCTTCCATCCTTTCGAGGTGGATAAAATGACCCAGATTGTTGGGGGAAATATGCTGACTCCGTAAACTGTTTAGAGAGGGCTGTAAAACCACTATGAAGCGATATATAAGTCTAAGTGCTGCTATAAACAAAAGATATTACTGTGACAATATTGGCTTGATCTCTATAAAAGAACATTGAAAGGCAGTACCAATCCTGCATAATAGGTATTTTGCAATGTGGAGGAATGCAGACAAAGCAAGCTTGCTTGAATCATTAAAGCAGCTACATCTTTATCCTGGCTCATGTGGTTGCTTTTTGGGCTGCTTGTGACTGTCTTTGTTCAGGGAAGCAAAATGGCTGTGCATGTACAAACATATGGAGATAGTTGAAAGCTGCAGAAGGCTTGCAAAAGACGTGGCTGCCTTAATGTTTCTCATGTGTTGCAAAGCACCTCTTTTGAAACATTACATAGTCCCAATTCGTGCTACTCTAACTAATGGGAACGGGATTTATATCCTTATATCCTCTTTCTCTTTAATATGAAAAATCAGGTTTTAATTTTAATGCTTTCATTTCCTCTTATTTTTTTCTGCCTCTCTGTGATTTTTTTTTTAGGGAAATAATATAAACATTATGTTTGCCGCATCTTCAAACTCACTGCTTCCAAGGATACTTGTTTTGATATGCTGTAGATGTTGTGGTAAAGTTTTAATTTAGCTTGGCTTTTCATTGTACATGTGTTGGTTTGAGTACATAAGAATGTAAAAGAACTGAACTGGCTCAAACCAAAGGCCTATCTAGTTTATCTTTATTTTAATAGTGTCCAGTAACACAACTTTAATACAATAAAACCCTTCTGCTTTTATTTTCTAGCAATTGTATTTTTATTTATTTTTTATTTATTTATTTATTTATTTATTTATTTATTTATTTATTTATTTTTGTCAAGTACATATTAGGTAATATATATATATATGTATGTATGTATGTATGTATGTATGTATGTATGTATGTATAAGCATGAATTGAATACATCAAGTAGATACAAATAGAGGAAACATTAGGACAGGGATGGTAGGCATGCTGGTGCTCTTATGCACGCCCCTTACAGACCTCTTAGGAATGGGGTGAGGTCAACAGTAGACAGTCTTAGTGTCAGGTTCTGGCTCGCTCCAGTAAAGAAAACAATTCAAACAGGCTTGCTGTGATGAGTCTTTATATAGCGATCCGGCACGCTCCGACAAACACCTGTGAAGATGAAAACATTGTCAGCTCTGTTTGCTCTGTGCTCCCTACCACCTTTTAAAGGTTCCCGCTTCCCTTCTCAGCTCCACCCCATGACCCCACCCTCCAGCCACCCCTGTTTGCAGCCTCCTCGTGTCAGCAAGCAATGGTGGTTTGCCATCTCCAATTTCCTGTGGCCTTGTCAGCAATGTCATTTGCATATTGCACCAAATGTCAGCTGGTCTCCTCCCAACAATGAATCGGCAGAAGAAATGGCTGCGTTCTTTTTCGTCATGGGTCTGTGGCATTTCATAGCCTAGCGAGATGGTATTGGGGTTTCAGGGATGATTCTGGTCTCATCTGTGGCTGGAATGCAGCAACTACATTGGCGTTGGGCTCTGGGTGGCTTTTCCTGTGGCTGGTTCTCTCTCCTCTCCCCGAATGGCAGCCCAGTGGGACAGAGCTGACACTTAGGTTAAAGTTTGGGGTGGGGGGGGTTGGGATGAAACCACAGAGTCAGGTAGTGCATTCTTGGCATTGACCACTCTGTTGCTGAAGTTATATTTTCTGCAATTGAGTTTGGAACAGTTCATTTTAAGTTTGTATCTATTGTGTGCTCGTGTATTGTTGTGGTTGAAGCTGAAGTAGTCATTGACAGGTAGGACATTGTAGCAGATAATTTTATGAGCTGCGCTTAGGTCATACCGAAGGCATCGTAGTTCTAAGTTTTCTATGCATAGAATTTCAAGTCTGGTGGCATAAGGTATTTTGTTGTGAGCAGAGAAGTAGAGGACTCTTCTTGTGAAATAATTCTGGACACGTTTAATTGTATTAATGTCCGATATGCAGTGTGGGTTCCAGACAGATGAGCTGTATTCGAGAATTGGTCTAGCAAATGTTTTGTATGCTCTGGTTAATAGTGTAATATTACCAGAGAAGAAGCTACACAAGATTCGGGTTACAACTCTTAATGCCTTTTTGGCAATGTTGTTACAGTGGGCTTTGGCACTAAGATCATTCGATCTAAGGTCCTTGATAGAGTGAGGGTCATCTACAAGGTCATGCCCACTCAGCTTGTATTTTGTGTTCTGATTCTTTTTGCCAACGTGTAAGACAGAGCATTTGTTGATTGAGATTTGGAGTTGTCAATTGTTTGACCATTCCAACACAAAGTCAAGGTCTTTTTGAAGGATAGCAGCATTGTCTGTGGTGTCAAATAGTTTTACATCATCGGCGAAGAGAACACAGCTGCTTATAATATGATCACAAAGATTGTTTATGTATAATATGAAGAATGTTGGTCCTAGAACGCTGCCTTGGGGGACGCTGCTATTAACAGGTGCAGGATTTGATCGGGCGCTCCTATCAAATTAATTAAATTAAGAGACATATTGATGTTCCCATTTGGGAGAGGAAGTATACAGGTAGTCATTGACTTAGGATCATAATTGAAAAATTTAAGTGAGACAGTTGTTAAGTGAGTTTTGCCCCATTTTACGACCTTTCTTGCTACAGTTGTTAAGTGAATCATGGCACTTGTTAAGTTAGTAACACAGCTGTTAAGTGAATCTGGCTTCCCCTTTGATTTTGCTTGTCAGAAGGTTGCAAAAAGTGATCACATGACATTGCACCGTTATAAATATGAGCCTGTTGCCAACTGTCTGAATTTGATCATGTGACCATGGACATACTACAATGGTCATAAGTGGGAAAAAGATTATAAGTCTCTTTTTTTCAGTGCTGCTGTAATTTCAAATGGTCACTGAACGAATAGTTGTAAATCAAGGACTACTTGTACAAAACTTGTACAGGTTTCTAAAAAGAGGTTATCTAGATGAGGGAGTGAACTGTTTTCTGTTGTCCTGTAGGGTATGACTCTTCAGAAAATAGATTTAGATTAGATATTACAGAAAAAAATATCATCAGGAAAAGCTCTCAAGCAGTGGAACAAGTTTCCTTATGAAATGGTTTCTTTCCCCTCATTGTAGATTTTCAAACAGAGGCTGTATAGTCATCGGATGTGCTTTAATAGATTTTGCATTAAGCAAAGGGTCAGGCTAGGTGACTTCTGATGTACCTTTCCACTCCATGGTTTTATGTACTGTTTTAACATCACTAGTGCTACTTATGTCTGGGGAAACTGATTTAGATTCACTTTGCCAATTTTGGGGATTGCATGAGTTTTACATAATAGATTAATTGAGAAGATTAGTTAAAGATTATGCTTTTATATCTATTAGAACAATGTTTAATTCCCTAAATCACTGTATTTACCTCTATATAATTAAACATCAAATTTCAGTGTCACTTTAATTCCCATCATCATCATTTGTGAGCTTGTTTAGAACATAATCATGTTTCAGTCCAACTGAGAATGCAGTTTTTTTGTGATTCTGTTTTGTAAATTTAATTGGATTTATCATGCCAAGCAAACATCAGAATCTCCTCTGTTGTTCAGATTGTTCAATTACTGGGCCTGACAACTGGGAGTGGGTGGCAATTTCGGAGGTAACCAAGGAAAAGCACAGGGTTAGTGGCAACTATTGTTAAGTGTGTAAAGAGTTTATGTAACACACACACACACACACACACACACACATAAAAGAGATGCAGGAAGTTTATAGAGGAAGAAAATCTAAAAGAACATAGTTCCTTGATCCCCAACTTTAATATTAATAAGGGATTATTTTATGTCAGTCTGTTGGAGATCAACATCTAAATCATTAGTGAAAGCTTTCCTTTATTTGAACTCTGTTTCTGTAGGATTCTTGGTTTGGTTTCTTTTTTGTAATAAAAACCTTGCTTCTGAATGTTTGACAAGGTGAAAAAAAATAACCTTCTGTTGCTATGTAACTCTGCTCTTGCATTATGGGTAGATCACATCTACATAATGGTTGGGTCACTAACAACCACAATTATTTTCATATTATTTAGATCACAGATAGTTTCATATTAGGACAGGCTGCATTGCTTTGTCAATCCCATGTTTTTGATCTGTCTGTGTGAGCATGCATGCACCTGAATATATTCAAGGTGGTTCTCACACCAGTGGTGCCTATTTTCACAGAGTGGAAACAGCTGGGTTGAAATATGGCTGGAAATGAGAAAATCCCAACCTGCTCTATTTCTACCGTTTTAATTGGCACAAAGTTATGAACAGACTATTCTTAGTATAGGGCTTCCTACCAAGAAAAGCCTTATGGGATAGGATTTCTCAATTTGTACCATTTCATGAGACAGGTACACAAAATCACATGGCAAAATGTTCCTAAATCTGTGTATATACACAAACATATATAGACTGCTTAATTATTTATGTTGAATCACTCTATAAGTAAACATGCAAGTGCATAGACTGATTATGTGCCATCAAGTTGTTTTCAATTCCTGTTCTATGGTATATCCAATGCCTTGGAAATTTTCTTGCATCCTTCTCCTGTCTGATACTTTCCAATCAGTAGTGGGTTTCAATTTCGGCCGCTACTGGTTTGCTCGTGGGCGTGCGTGCGATGCTTCTGAGCATGCGCAGAGACGTCCAGGTGGGTGGGCGGAGCCTCCCGCACCACCGCTACCGGTTTACCCGACCCGAGGCGAACCAGTAGCAATCCACCACTGTTTCCAATGACATCTTCATAGGCCATGGTTTTTGCTATAATAGGCAACTGAGTAAACCTCAGCAAAACCCTACAACAGCTGAACTTGATATGGGCTTGATCAGAGTCACTTTAATTGGTGGCAGGTGTGTACAGACTACTATTTAACATCAATTCAAATGTGATTGGTTATTTCTGAGCACAGCTACATCCCTACTTATAAGGAATGTGCACACTTATGCAACCTCATTATTTACATTATTTTATTCTTATTTTTCCCCCTACAAAATCTCAGTTTGCTTTTCAATTGAATTGTATAACTTATAAATTGTATTAAAAGGTGGAAAAAATTCTGAAGTGGTTTATCTTGATATGACTTTTTATTTTATTTTTTTGCATCTCAAAAACCTGGCATTTTAACAGGAGTGTATAGACTTTTTATATCCACTTTAGGTACTATTCTTGTAACTTTGGTTGCAATTTCTAATAACTGTCTTACTTTATGCATACATTTAATGGCATATTTTTGTGTTTCAGATAAGCTTTATATGGGACCAGGGCAACTGTACAATGATTTGCAGAACCTCTTACATGACTTGAATGTAGTTGGCCAAATCAGTCAACTAATATGCAGCCTGAAGGGAAACTACCAGGTAACAAGTAATGGATGTAGAATTAAGTTTCCAGATTAAGCAAACACCTATACTCTTTTATGCGATGCTAATGCGATTATTGTTAAATGGTAAACTGTAGAGTTGTAAGTAGATTAGCGATGCCTTGCTGAGTTTGTTGTACTTAATCTATTTGCATATATGCAATCTAAGCATAGGATAGTCAATAAGGTATTTTTATTCAGTGATTTCAAGAAAAATGTCATATGCTTGTATCATGAGTTAATAGCAGTGTTTCTTTAGCATAGAGCATTAAGCCATCAGGTCTGTTTAAGCATTATTTAATCCTACTGACATGGGTTTTTTTCTCTTGTTTTAATCCGTGCTGTACAATATGTCTGTGCCTGTGTTCCTTTCAAGTAAAAATTACATAGAATGGCAGTAGATTTTTGTTAATGAAGGCCTTTCCAGATTGCATCTGCAAAAGAAATTTTAGCTTAAATTCTGATGGTGTATCTTAAAATGGTTTGTAGTGCAGTTTCACAGGTTTTTGATGCGACAGAAAAAATAAACTTTATGTAACATTATATGAACTTCAACATTTGTTCTTGTTGTCGTTGTTATTCCACCAGAATTTAAATCAGTCAGTGGCTCATGATTGGACCTCAGGTTTACAGAAACTCATTTTGAAAAAAGAAGATGAAATTAGAGCCGCAGACCGCTGTCGAATTCAACTTCAGCTTCCAGGAAAACAGGACAAGTTAGTAGCAACCTTGAACTACAGAGGACATACATTTTCTGGAAAGCCCTTGAGGGGAAGTTGGCATGAAAGTCAACACAGTAAAATGTAGCTTCTGGGTAGGAGAAAGGAGGATCATGTTTAGTGTTGCAAAATAATGATGATAGCCATGTGCTCAGAAGCAGATCTTGATAGGATCTCTCTTTATGTGTGAGACATTTTTCTGGCAGCAATTTTCCAGCTCTCCATTGCTGCGTAATAAGCTCCAGGCAAACAGTACCTCATAATTTATACCATGTTCAAGATGTGTGTAGACAGTATGCACCTCATTACTACAGAAGTAGGAAGTGTTTTAGGTGTCCAAGGGAACTGAAATAAAATCCCACTAGCAAACTGATGCTGTGTTTATTTAGTTCAGTGTCTTTTCTGTATATGTGTATACAGATAGTTCTCGACCTACAACAGTTCATTTAGTGACCATTTGCAGTTACAATGGCACTGAGAAAAGTGACTTATGACCATTTTTCACACTTAAAACTGTTATGGCATCCCATGATCAAAATTCAAATGCTTGGCATCTGAACTTGTATTTATGACAGTTGTAGTGTCCTGGGGTCATGTGGTTACCTTTTGTGACTTTTTGACAAGCAAAGTCAATGGGGAAGCCATTAACTACCATGTTGCTAACTTAACAACTGCAGTGATTCACTTAACAAATATGACAAGCAAGGTTGTAAAATGGGGCAAAACTCACTTAATAAATGTCTCGGCAACAAAAGTTCTGAATTCAATTATGGTCGTAAGTTGAGGATTACCTGTAGTTTGAGCCAGCAATCTTTCTTCTCTAGATATTCGATACAGTTTTTAAAAACCAGAACTTCATAAGGAATCAAAATTGCCTTTCCTTGTATGAGAATGAACAGTTGTGCCCGCCTCAGCCTGATTGCTTATTATTTTCTTATTCTCTAACATATTTCAGAAATTATAAGAAATCCTATTCTAGTCAATTTCTGTAACCCTGTTTCAGTATGCCAATACTTTACCAATTTGCCAGCTTTGATTTTACAAAGCAGCAGTAAAAGGGATAGTATCACAACTCTGACACAACTTGTATTTCTCAGTGCAAGGAGACCACAATTGCCTGAAAGGCTATACAAGGTTACCAATATAGGACATTGATCATTTATGCTATGAATGGAGTCAGAATAATGGGATACAATGACTCTGAATGTCAGCCTCTTGTCCCAAACAGGAACCTTTCCCAACTCTGGGAGAGTTGATAGGTCTTTACTTAGATAGGTATTAAATAAAACCTATTTGCAAGTTATGAAAGTGTTCCTCTCAACGTTGAAAGAAAAACTAATGCTGTTCAATAGAATGTATAATAATTTATTTGGTGCTAACAGTTGCAGCTAATGAATCTTTGTTTTCTTCCTGCCAAAAGAGTATATGGCATACTTTTATTATATTGTGTAACTGGAATATGCACTATTACTTATTTTCTTTAATTTTAATAGATCAGGACGGCCTACTTTCTTTACGGCTGTGTTCAATACATTTACACCTGCCATCAAACAGTCGTGGATCAGAAGTTTACAAATGGCTAAGCTTGCTTTAGGTAAGATTTTCTTTTGCTGTGCTTAAAAGTTACATAAATTAAACTTAAGGAGAGTTAACTGTGCCTTGTGAATAATTGTGGCAAAGGAGTGGAACATTCACAGAAAATGAGCTAATAAATGATTTATCCTAGATAGTGACCAGGGTTTGGCAAAACTTAGAAAACTCAGAGAAATCAATTGAGAGAAGAGAGATTTCAGTTCTATTTGCAGGGAATCTCCATGACTGGCTTCTGCTACTAAGGACTAACTATTTCAGTTGTGGGAAAGGGTCAGAAACACGGAAGACATTAGTCCTCTAATGAAAATATGAAGCTAGAGGTAGTCAGGCTTCTTTTGCTAATTTATATTATGCATTGATTTGAGCTTCTTTGTGTATCCTTTTGCTGTTTTATTCTATGTGTATGCTGGTTCTTTTTGCTGGCAAAAATCCCTCTCCCTCTCCCCTCTCTCTCCCTCTTGTTATTCTTTTAATGCAAAATGTGTTTCCCAAATACTAATGTATATAGTAAATACTATATATTTTCATTATACTGATGTATTTATTTTACTTTGGACGTAGCCTAATACTCTGCAGTTAATATCTGAAGAAGGACCAAACCCACACCTCTTTGTGTGCATGCGAAAACTCCTTTACACTACTATTCAAAGTTAATATATTTTTGGAAGATCATTTTTAAATAGTTATCTGCATGAGGGAATTTTCTCTATAGAGATTTTATAAATATTGGTTATCTTTTAAAATGTTATCTTTTAAAACTTTTGAATGCATAAATGTTGCCTTCTAGAATTCAATTCAATTCAATTCAATTTTTTATTTTTATATGCCGCCCTTCTCCGGAGACTCAGGGCGGCTTACAATGCGTTAAGCAATAGCCTTCATACTTTTGTATATTTTATACAAAGTCAGCTTATTGCCCCCACAAACTGGGTCCTCATTTTACCCACCTTAGAAAGGATGGAAGGCTGAGTCAACCTTGAGCCTTGGCGAGATTCGAACCCTGCAGTAATTGCAGGCAGCTGGAATAAGCAGCATAAGGCTGCAAAGTTTCTCTAGAACTTCCCATTATTAACCTTTATGTCTTCATAAAACACCTTTGTGAACCTTTAAAAGAAAATATTTTTCTTGGTTATTCTACAGAAACAGTTACTAGAAAATATGCGTCTGTTTGTATTTAATTGGTAACATAAAAACATAGCAATAACATTGAAAACAAAGACATTCCTTTTTTCCCTTTTGCCATTACAGCTGATGAAAATCTGCTGGGTTGGTTCTGTATAGATGATGATGGGAATCAGATTAAAAAAGAGAAACACCCACTCCTTGTGAAACACATGCCTGTGATGATGGCCAAACAACAGGAATTTAAGGTAAATATTAGTTTTGTTCGCTAAATAGCTAATGAACAGATTGAAACATGCATGGGCTAAATTACTTTACCTAAAGTTAAGTTTATTTCCTCTTTATCAGTTATTTGGACTGTAAGCATTTTTTTACTAACTTAATGTCAAAATCCAAAATTGACATAGAACATAAAACTGTTAGACAGAATAAGTGGTTAATAATATACATTTGTATTAGAGCCACATGAAGTTGCAAAATAGAAAACATTTTTCTTTTACTCATTGGCTTCAGTTTTACTAGCAGTGGGTCAGAAAAGCATTATTTATTTATTTATTGCCATAGCAAAATATATGAGATTTTTACTAACAATTTTTATTTTGTGCGTTAAGGTTGAATGTGCTGCTTATAATCCTGAACCTTGTTTATGTGAAGAAAGTGACCCTGATTCTCTTTCTACTGAGTATGGTTTTCTGTGGGTAAGAATTTAATTTTTTTCAAAGTTCACATAATAGTATTTATAGAGAATGGAATAATAGTCTGAAAATGAAATCACTTTTGCAAATTCAGTTTCGATATGTGGCACAGTGGCCTAGATGTGAATGTGCTCACCTCCCTCTCAGAAGATTGAAAGTTCAATCCTAGGCAGTGAGACAGATGTTTCTCTATCAGGGCAAAAGAGAAAATATCTACTGTGAACTCCGTATAGGCATCAGGAGGGGCATCCAGCCAGTAAATGCTCAGCTCTATTCAGTTGCCCTGACTTCCCCCTGATAAAAAGGGATTATAGGGTCGTAAAAGAAATAGATAGATAGATAGATAGATAGATAGATAGATAGATATAGAGATATAGAGATATAGAGATATAGAGATATAGATATGCAGATACAAATACAGATACACAAAGCTGAATAACGTACTGATGACTCTGTATTCTTAAAAAAAAAGTCTGCTCATTTGGTTTTAGCTTTTTTAAAATGAAAATTGAATAGAGTAAAGAACAGGTGATGCTTAATGCATGAAAGCAGCAGGGCAGTTTTCTCATTATAAGCCTTTCTTGAGACTTCTTTTCTTAGAAATTGTTAGAATGGGAGGCATACAATGGTGGGTTTCAAGTAATTTAACAACCAGTTCTCTACCCTAATAATTTCTCCCGACAACCAGTTTGCCTAACTGCTCAGAAAGTTAACAACCGGTTCTCCCGAAGTGGTGCGAACTGGCTGAATCCCACCACTGGAGGCATAGCCAGGTTAGGAAAGATATAAGCATCCATTCTATATTAACAAGAAAGTACAGGCATGGGTGGATCCTTTGACATTACGCAATAGTATATTTTGTGGCCTGAAGTTGATTTCTGTGCCCAATATTCACCTATATGAATTTTTGCAAATCATCACTTGCTTTTGAAGTGTATTCCCTCTTAACATTTTAAAATGTTGAGGCTTTTGATCCTGAGAATGACTGAGGAGCATTCAGGAAATAATTTGACAAATCAGAAATAGTTGTGGGCATGTGACTTCTTGTACACTCTCTTGTACAGGTAGACTGAGCAGAAGTATGAAATATATTTAACAGAAATCATGCAAGTTAATAAAACCATCAGCATTGCTTGCAAAAAGTCACTGGTACTGAATCTCATTGGCAATATGATCCAATATAGAATTATGTCTATATTGTAGGATTAACAAATAAAAGCTGGAAATGTCACTATTTCTTGTACATTAAACAAATATATTTATGTATATATTTGTAATACATAATGCTGTTAAAAAAAATAAAGAATATTTCTTTTAGAGAACAAAACTCTGTGGTTAGCAAGTGAAATATTTTTTTCCCGTATTTTCAGTCAGTAAGATAGGCACGTATATAATTGTTTTCTTTTAATGTCCAGTTTCCAGAAACTCCTTAATTTAACTATTTAAAACCTAATGATTTTTGGCAACTAACTTTACCATGAATGTTATTGGTTAAAGAGATATTGCTTGTGAAATAAAGTGAAACTTTTCTCTGTGATACAGATTGGCAGTTGTACTAATCAAATGGGCCAAATCGCCATTGTATCATTTCAAAACTCCAATCCAAAGCTTATTGAATGCTTCAATGTGGAGTCAAGAATTCTCTGTATGGTCTATATTCCAGAAGATGAGAAATCCAAAGAATCAAATAATATGTTTCCTGAATCTGGAGACATGGCTACAAAACCCCTCAGCGTGCCTACTATTTGTCTAGGCATGGAAGAAGGAAGGTATTTTTCATATCTGTGTCTCATTTCTGTGGATTATTTAGCTGTATATGAATGAGACAGAGAGAGAGAAAGAGATAGCTAAAAATTCAATTTTGCACTTAATCAGTTATTTCTAGCAAACAGCTAAATTAATCAGAGTTATTTTGAAAGATCTAATTTATTTAAAGCTCTGCACATTCCTATAGGAAATGTTATGTTGCATTTAAACAAATCATTTCCCATTCTTTGCAAGCAACTGGATGTGTTCAGAAATAAAATAAATAGTAATTTTTGGTAATTTGCCACAAGTAAATTAAGGCAAACATATCAAGTATTTTATAGTAATATGGCCTTAAACAATTAAATGTTTTAGGTGCTGATGGTCAATCTTTCAGTTTTTCATTCTCATTCTTTCACTAAATTCCATGTACTGTGGTTCCAGTTGTTCTGCAGACCAACAAAAAAGAAGTACCGTATTTTTCGGAATATAAGATGCACCTTTTCCCCCCAAAAAAGAGGGTGAAAATCTGTGTGCATCTTATACTCCGAATGTAGCCTTGCCCAGCTTCTCAAACAGAACTTTCAGAGGCTGAAAAAAGCATTAGAAACAAAGCTTCAGAAAAGAAGCCCCCAAAAAGAGCTTCAGAAAAAAAAGCCCCCAAACAGAGCTTCAGAAAAAAAGCCCCCAAACGGAGCTTCAGAAAAGAAGCCCCCAAACGGAGCTTCAGAGGCTTTTTTTCTGAAGCTCTGTTTCAGAGGCTTTCAGAGGCAGAAAAAAGTTTTTTCTGAAACAGAGTTTCAGAAGTTTCAGAGACAGAAAAAAAAGCAAGGCACAGAGCTCAAAACCAAGGAACCTGTTCCTAAAATTCACTTTTGGGAACAGCTGATTGGGGGCATTCCGGGAGCCCCATCCACCTGCCAATCGGCTTTTTTCTTATTTTCCTCCCCAAAAACTAAGGTGCGTCTTATACTCCGAAAAATACTGTAGTATTTATTCAAAAGCCTCAGATATATGATTTGTAGATCTAGATAATGAAAAATTATGCATAAAAAAGAAAATACTGTATTCCAAGTGGAAAGCATTCTTTTTCCTTCATTAGAAGAAATGTATTATTCCTGTGATTTTTCCCAGTCTTTCAGAATTTATGCATTGTGTTTCATAGCTGACAAATTATCTTGTAAATTCTGAAATGGTATACAATAGAGTTTGTAGATTGACTTAAGCTTTATTAGGTTTTGGTTTGGATTCCAAATTCTTCAATAACGTTATTTTTGAGACTGTGGACATATGTAGAATCATGAGTGTGTAGGAAAGTCACATATAATATCCATTTCTTTTGTTTCACCTGATACAGATAGTGTGATGGAACATTTTTGCTAATAGTGTCGAGTCAGTTATCAGCAATATGGTATACCATGACAACATTGTGTTTGGCCACCCAGCACATCAGTGCTATCACATGTACTGTATATGTTTGTGTATATGTGTACACACACACAGCCCTGCATTAGATGTTACAAAAACATAGAACATAAAAGCATTGAGAGGAAGAAATTTTTGAATGTAATCCCAAAAGTGCTTTTTCAAGAGGCAACTGGACTTTCTGATTTTTCTTTGAAGACATTTTGCTTCTCATCCAAGATCCAGCTTCTTCAGCTCCAGAGCTGAAAAAGCTTCTTGGATAAGAAGCGAAACATCTTCAAAGAAAAACCAGAAAGTCCAGTTGCCTCTTGAAAAAGCACCTTTGGGACAACCATGACTTGGATGACTGAGAATCTCTATATACTTTTGAATGTAATGAATTGGTTTTCCTTTTTCCTTTTTATATGATGATTTTTAAAGTATTTCCTGTTCTTCTTAAATAGCATCTCTGTTTACAAAAGTAGTCAAGGCTCCAAGAAAATCCGTCTTCAACACTTCTTTGCTCCCGAGAAGTCTACTGTGATGAGCTTAGCATACAAGACTCACCATTTATTTGCTGGCCTAGTCAATGGAAACATTGCAATCTACACCAAATTGGAAGGTACAGGAATGTTATGGGATATCCAGAAGGGTTTCTGAGTTGCAGTATTTATAGACACAGATTTCGTTGCTGTGTTTCTTTTTCTAAATTCATATTCACGTTTTCACTTTGGATTGCTGTTGGCACCAGTAACCATCAAACATTGCATATATATTTCAAATATCTGCTTAGTTTGTAATTTCATAAGCAATACATGTCTCAATTTTGACATGCAGATTGAGAATAGAAACTCTTACATTAGAAACAGGTTCCTGGGCCACAAACATACATATATTAACACTTCTGATGGGAGTTTTCACGGGAGCTTTAACAGTTCCGATAGTCTTTTCTAATTGAAGAGAATTCAGGTGCGCTGGTCATTTCTTGTAAGTCTTTTGCTCATCTGGCCTGAAAATTAGGGGAACTGCAGGCTTTTCACCGCTGGAGAGCAATAGGATGGGGAAGTCTATGTAGATTCTGCATGTTTAGTTCATAAAGAATTAATTCCAAATGTTTCTTAAGAGGTGGCATGAATATATCTATTTTAAGATGTAATATAAAATGGCTTTAAGGCTATATTTTGTGCATGCATGCACTATTGTAGCATTAATTGAAAAATAATGAACATTTAAATGTTTAAGCCAGTAGTTTGTCCTGTTCCATGTATTGATTTCCTCAAAATGGTCTAGTATATACTTGTTAAAAATGAGGCTCCTTATTTACTCCTCTTTGTTAACTTTTAATATATTTAAATCAAAATAATGATCAGTGGGGTTCCTTGGTGTCCTGATGAGTGTGGTTGATTGCTTTCAGGCATTTCATTACCCAATTAGCCAACTTCATCAATGTGAATCCAACTTGAGTAATCAGATGTCTGCAAAGCAAACAATCACATCAAAGAGCACCAAGAACTCCACAATTCAATCATGAGTTACATATATTTTCTTCTATTGCAACAATTATTTTAAGTATAGTGTGAGGTTTGCTATTATGAAATATCTTGTTTGTTTATGGAGAAATTGTTAGAGGAGAAATTTTGATTCCCTCAGCCTTGCATCTACAAAACACATATTCAGTTCTTGTTTCTTTATGCAGCAAGATTACAAATATTGAAACAACTGCCTGGTAGGTTGTCATCTTACACAGGACATGGATTTCCCAAGTACTTGCTTCAATTCTGTTAATTTTATTGTGAAAGTTGAACTTCTCAATATTCTTAATAGTAGGATAGTATATTTTTCAATATAGTGCAGTCAGTTATCAGCAACATATATTTAAAACTTCCTTTTTTATATCACAAGTAGCTGGGTATATATTAAGAAGAGAGATCAAAGCATATCCATTACATAGCAATGCACTCTCTTTAATGCAACTCTCTATTCAGCAGAGTTTGCATGGGCTTTGGGTTGCTGTGATTGTAGCGCTTTTTACATCTAAACAAAGCATATACAGTGGTCTCCGTGTTCCCTTCTTCCCAGATAAGCATTTGTTGCCTCCCAGTTTGTAACATTTTAAAATAAATTTTATTGAAAGTTTTACAAGAACATTACAAACTAATTTTATTTATTTAAAACATTTGTACAGCCACCTATCTGCTAAACAATTTTGGGCTGCTCCCAGTCAAAAGTTAAAATGCCATAAAAGAAACAGTTATAATAAAGAGAGGAAGGAAGGAAGGAAAAGAAAAAACTAACATGAAATAAAAGAAGCTTCCAATTTCCTTTGCAGCAAATACAAGTAGAATTACAAAATTATTCTTACTCTAGATTACAAAGGAAATCTCACTTTTTCTCCCAGTTTTGTAACTATAATCTTTGTCAGCTCAAGCTGCTTTTCCAATCATGCTGAAGAGGCAGCTTAATGAAATGCTGACCTATTTTGTCAGATATATAATAAAGGCTGGGACAGAGGATTTGACCCAATAATAATTGTACACGTTGACATTGGAGAATCCAAGTTGCACTACTTAATTCTGCAGGTCAAAATATTTTTCATCCAAGTTTGCCAACAATTCCTGGCATTGCCAGCTTTGTTTAAGTATCAGCAGAAGAAAAAAAATGAAATACTGATATATTTCTCTCAGCTTCTAATGCTGCTTAACACTCACATTCAGAGAGCTCATGTGTTATATTTCAGTTGTTCCCATGGCACCTATGTCAGTTGAAGAATTAAAACACTGAATAGGGTTCTGTCTTTTCCTGAGGAAGAATTGCTACAATGATAATATCATGAAAAGTTTTTGTTTTGCTCTTAGTCTATATCTGTGATGGCGAACCTATGGCACGCGTGCCAGAGGTGGCACGCAGCACCCTCTCTGATGGCACGTGAGCCGTCGCCCCAATTCAGTTCTGCTGTGCATGCATGCACGCCTCCCGCTGGCCAGCTGGTCTTTGGGTCTCTGCCGCGCATGCAGGGGGCAGGGGGTGCATGCACAGGGGGGGTAGGGCACATGCAGGGGACACACGCATGCATGGGAGTGGGTCACATGTGGGGGGCGCACACGCATGCGAAGGGGGTGGGATGCATGCAGGGCATGTGCGGGGGGCAGGGTGCACATGCGGGAACCGCAGGTATGTTGCATTTTGGGGGTTTGAACGTGCACGCTTTGGGGCACTCAGTTCAAAAAAGGCTATCCATCACTGGTCTATATGGATCCTTCCAATTGTTGATGATAGCTGTAATTCTGAATAATCACTGAATAAACATTAATTTCAAAAGTGTTAAAACTGAATTCCTTTTAACTGTTGCTGTATATTTTTAGTCTTGCTCTGCTGAGATAAAAACAAGCAGTATGTAATCATTTATCTTATTGTTTATGCACCATTGCACTACTCAATTAACAATCTCTGTTCACAGAACCAATTTAGCAGCTCTGTTGAAATGCCAGTGGTGCTACACAATAGAGAAAATAAGGAAGCTATTGAACAGTAAGATGAATACTGGTTAAATCAAACAGAAGAGAACTTTTCTCCATTGCTGGAGGGCAGAGAGAAGGATATTAGATTTAATTAAATGGAATTCATGACAAATCCTGAGTTACTGTCCAGAATTAGCTTTATATTACTTTGAACGCCTGTTTTCTCTTTGTGTTGTGACTGTTGTGTAAGGAGACTGTCCAATGTTAAGAGGAAGATTGGCAATTAGTGGAATATTTCCAATTATAAAATGAAGCATTAAAATGCTAATGCGTGACAACTTAGATTTTGTTTTTAACAATCCAATTCACTTCCTCTTGTAATATTTGAAAAATAGCTTTGAATAGCTTTCCCCCTGACATGCAAGGGTGGCCAATACCTCTGTAAGGGTTTAAAGACTCATTCATTCATTCATTCAGTCATTCATTCATTCATTCATTCAATTTCTGTAGCCGCTCATCTCAGTCAATGACTCTGGGCAGCTTACAGTTCAATACTATAACTATATCACAATAAAAACAGTAAAACATTTTAAAACAAGTAACCCAATGTAAAAAAGATCCAAAATAAACATACGATACGATACTTTTAAAAACCTACCCTCTGGCTATATACTTTGGTAAAAAATGGTTTTGGAAGAGAACAAAAGGTAGAAAAAATCAATTTGAGGCAAGAATATTTTATTTTTAATAAGTATATCAAGGTAATTATTATATAAATGAAGATCTTTTTTAAAAAAAATTAAGTCTTTCATTTCTTTTTGCAAAAGATGGGACCTGGAACTCAGAACCACAGAAAATAGTGAAATTGGGAGTTCTTCCTGTCAGAGGTCTTCTTGTGATGGAAGAAACCATCTGGGCTGCTTCTGGTGGACAGATATTTATAATTAATACAGAAAGTCATGCTGTAGAGGTAAGCATAATTCCCTTTCCAAACATAAGCAATTCATTTTGTGGCTTTTAATGTAATTTTCTATATAAGATGTAAGTGTGTTCTTGAATCAAACTTGCACATGAATATAAAGTTAAGGTAAAGGTATCTCTTTGGGTTTTACCCCTCTAGTTGTGACCGACTCTAGGGGGCAGTGCTCATCTCTATTTCTTAAGCCAAAGAGCCAGTGATGCCTTGAGTGAGGCCAGCATGATATTGTGCCGCAACGCAGACCATACAGCGAAACACCAAATGCTGTTACCTTCCTGCATGCTTATATATAGTACCTATTTACCTACTTGTATTTGCATGCTTTCAAACTGCAAATTCCTATGATATCAACTTGGAGAAAACAGGAATATCAGCTTAGAAATGTGGAAGGGAGCAGACTGGTTATATTTGTATATGAATAATCTGAAATCCAAGCTTTTGCTTTTAGTGAACAGCTTTTTTTATTGTTGAATATTTATATCTGATGTCTCTTGTCTTTCCAACTCTGTAGACCATCTTTTTTTGGAGGGGGGGGCTGTATTTTTTTTTTGCATCAGATTGTCACAGGATGTCAAAATTGGATATACGAGGGACCTGAGAGCCTTTTCTTTCAAAGAAACTCAGTAGAAACTCCTTGAATATGTTCTGACTCATTACGACTTTTGTTTTATGGTAATGTCTCCCTATATGATTATTGCAGTTTCCATCTTAAATAAAAAAGGGTTTCTTTAGTGAGTTTTTGACGTGACTAGTAAAATGTAAAAAATAGTCTGTAATTAATCATTCGGAAGGGATGATCTGTGATATGCGTTAGAGCATTTTATTCTTATAGAATGAACTTGGCTATTCCATCCCATGTTTTTGCCTTTAGGAGTCCCACTGGTATCCCCTTGCCTGAAGCTAGATATGGTAGAAAATGAAATAACATGCAAACATCACCATTATTATTATTATTATTATTTTTTTGCAAGAATTATATTCACTGGTATCCTTTCTTTCCTCATTATCAATTCTACAGTCTTGGACAATCATAATCCTGGAGTATGTCAAAACAGAACTGGTCTCTTCCATGGCAATGTGGTAGTGGGAGCTAACATGGAAGGAAAAGTATGGTACAGGGGTGCTTTTATTATTTATTTATTTGCATCCCACCTTTATTATTATTACAAACTAGCCGTACCCAGCCACGCATTGCTGTGGCCCAGGCTGGTGCTTCTGCTGGCCTAAAAGAGCGAGGCTGATGTTCCAAACTCTCCACCAACATTTGGTGGGCGTGGCCAACTTGACGTCAATCACTTTCATCAGTCACATGACAGCCCCCAAGCCACGCCTACCCAGCTGGTGATTAGGGCAGAGAACCGGTTGCTAAAAAACAATGGGAACCACAAAATCCTCCCTGTCTCCCCCTCTCTCTTTGTATCTCTCTATGTCTCTTTCTCTCCCCCGTCTGTATCTCTCTATGTCTCTCTCTTTCCCCCCCCCTGTATCTCTCTATGTGTCTCTCTCTCCCCCTCTCTCTGTATCTCTATGTCTCTCTCTCTCTCCCTCTCTCTCTGTTTATCTCTGTCTCTGGCCCGGCCTCTTCTGCATCCCCCGCCATCGCCCTTACCTTTTCAGGCCAGGCCTTCGCAGCTCTCCGCACCACAGCAGAAACTCGGGGGCCCCCTCCGTCCTCCCTACACAGATATTCTCTGGGGGCTTGATGGGGAGATGCATAGCAGGGAAGGGAAGGGAAGGGAGGGAGGGGGTGCGGCAGGGGTTTGAGGGCTGGTTTGGGGCTTCCCGCCCGAAGGAAGAAAGCGGCAAAGCCAGGAGTCACGCACACCCCACTGGACCCCTGCTGCGCAGTTCTCCTCCCCCGCCTGCCAAGGGCAAGGGAATGATTAAATCCCCCACTCTTCCAGGCGAAACAAAGGAGGGCCGGCCATCCTCCCTCCTGTCCGTTTCCGCCCCCCAAAGCCTCCCCGGAGCCCCTTTTCTGCCAGAGGCCGAAATTTTCGTGTAGGCTCCGTGAACTGCCAGAGCGCCCACCTGGGAATCAAAAGGCAGCGCTGGTCAAAGGGAATCCCGAGGCTCCAGTTGCCTCCATCTCCCGCTCACCGACCGGATTCGCATAGCGCCGGTTAGCGGCTGGTCTTTCTGACCTCGGGGCCCGTGGTAGCCCTGGGCCAGGCGCGATTCGGGCCAGGTGAGGGACGGAGGTTCCCGCTCGGCAGACCCAGGCAGCCTTGTTGCCAGGTTTTCTTTGGAGGGAGCCCCGAGAGCGGCTGGCGAGGGGGATGGGCAGCAGCGGCGGGCGAGGCTAGTTCGCAGGGCAGCCAGGGGAGGGGGAGGTCAGAGGCAGGCTTGGGCGGGCCCCGCCCAGCCCTAGAAGTGCCGGAAGCGAGGGCTTCCCGGCGGGGAGCCGGCTGCCTACCTGCCGAGCCTGGTAGCAGGATATGGCCCTCAGGCGTCTTTGCCTTCCAAATGCGCAGTTTCTTGGAAGCAATATGGAGAGTCTAAATATAAGGAGCAGAAATCTGTTGAGCGTAATCAGGGCTGGGAGGCTGCCATGTTGGTTTTACGTCCAGCAGATGGCGTTGTTTTTCAATGTTTGTCAATGTTTTTCAATGTTTTCCAATGTTTTTCATGTTTTTACCTGTCACAGGTGTGACATGTATATAATACAGGTATATAAAAACATGCCTGTAGTCGAATGCAACATTGTGTCAAAATTTGAAAGCAATCGGTGAAGAACTTTCGGAGATATGCAGTTATGTACAAATGGACATTTACATTTTTATTTATATAGATAACTCAAGGTGGAGAACATATCCAGCACACCTTCCTCCTCATGTTTTCCCCCAAACAATCAGCCTGTGAGACGAATTGGGCTGAGAGAGAGTGACTAGTCCAAAGTCACTCAGCTGGCTTTCATGCCTAAGGTGGGACTAGAATTTAACAGTCTCCCTGGTGGGTGCCTTAATCACTAGACCAAACTAGGTCTCCAAAAACTTTATTAAGAGCTTTAGTAAGAAGCAGATTCCGTTATGGCCAGGTTTGTTACTCATAGTAGAGTTAAAATTTTGTGTCCATTTGGTTGTACAAAGAACACAGAAGAGCATAAGCTGAACAACCTTAGACACAGGTGTTTTTTTAGAGGCACATATGGATATCTGTGCAAGCATGGGTGAGAGTCACTGTGGCATAGTGGTTCATGAACTGGAATAGGAGGAAGAAGATCCAGGTTGCAGTCATCCCCTAGACATGAAAACTGTTTGGGTTTGGGCTAGTTACTCTCTCTAATCTCTGGACTGGGAAGTGAAAAAAAATATCTATCTACCGATTCACATGATGGGCCATGATGGTTCATAACCTTCAATGGCTGCAGTGACTTCATTTGTATGTAAATAAATAAAATATATAAGATAGGAGTGCAAGTGTATGACCACTTCAGCCTTCTTGGGTGAGAATGGGGTAAGGCACAAGCTAACACAGACTGACGAATGTGTCCTCAGCTGATATTTTTCTTGTGAGCTGCTCATTGTTCCCTATTGCATGATAAATTTGAATCCCCAGGGATCCGTACCTTAGATAAAAGCACCAATTGCAGGAAATGTTAATTGTCCAGAAGACTAGTTCTCTTTTCTCTGAAAAAACCTCTGAGGAAAACCTGAGGAAATCACTGAGGAAAATAATACTCATCCAAAAATATGCTTTCTCCCCCTCTCTCTCACAGAGAGAGAGGGAGAGGGGGGGGGGTGTATGAATTAGCAATTTTGGTACAACCTCCTTCTGTGATGGTGCTAGCTAGCAAGCAGGAGAATCAGGAATTTGAGATAGATGAATGGGGTGCATGTAGCTAGGCTTTTGATTTGATCAAGTTTCATTATTTATGCAGCCTTAAAGTGGAGCAAAGAAAGAATCAGCTTCTTAAATCCTGTTCAGAGTGGCATTTTTCTCAATTCTGTGATGCAGCCAGCTGGGATCGCATTTATTTATTGCAACATTCATAGACTACCCTCAATCATGAAACTCTCGTGATTTGTAATCAGTAAGAACAAATAGTCCCATAAAACCCTTCCATTCTAGTAAACTTCATAAAAGGTAAAACATACTGAATATAAAACGAAAAAATCAGGAAAAAGGCAGCCCAACAAGTACCTGCTTATGCCCCATAGGACCAGCAAAATGGAGCTGCCCACCATTTTTTTTTAAAAAAAGAGGAAAATATGAGGTCCATCCTGATCTCTGAAATCAAACTGTTCCATACTGATGGGGCAGCCACCAAGGTAGCCTGCCTCTAGATCCCTGCTGATGCCATCCTTTCCCCTATTATTGTCTACCCCTACCACTTTTTTTTGTTTGTTTTTTTATTTAAATTTGTATACCGCCCTACTCTCAAAGGACTCAGGGCGGTGAACAGCCATAAAATAAAACATGTAGATACAAAATTTAAAATAGAGATAAAACTAATTAAATAAATTTGGCTGAGACTTTTCTAACATAATTGCAGCCATGTTGCTCTTAAATTTGGTGATAGTTTGCTAACAACACAAAATGAAGTCTTTAGGCACAGTTGAGCCTTTTTCACATATTCAATATTTTCAAGGCATAAGAACAAATTATTTGGCACACAGCATTGCATTGCTGTTGCTTCCTACCCACTGTTCCTTCCTTGCTGTTTATGTTTTTGATGCTTGGACTCTTTCTGGAATCCCAGATTCAAGCTGAGGTCAGCTCCACTTGAAAATATTTTTGTTCTAAGCTTCATGCCAACTTCAGTGATACTCCTCATTTCAGTGGTTACTGGGTACGGGTTTAGCTAGAAATAATGTTACATTTTAGGAATGATCGAAATATATCACAGCTTTCATAAACACCATCCTTGTTGGCTGGAAGGGAAATTTTCTGAAGCCTTTGCCTCAAACAGACATGTGCCAGTCTCTAGTTCCACTGGAGCTGAAGCAGCATTCATGAGAATGCCAAGGGAATATATATGTTGGCAAGAGAGGAAAGGGTCAAGGCTGTGTTCTGTGTGGTATCCTGTCACTATTTATTTCGCAGAAGAAATTCCCTTCTCTGTAACTAGTATAAGAACTCCCAGGGTAAATCCAAAAGGCTTGGTAATGCATTAGCATCAGGTTTGCAATGCTTATTCCTAAAGGGGTCTCTGCAAGCAAAGCAAGATATAAGAGTTGGTATAGTGGTGAATGTCTTGGCCTAGAAACTAGGAGTCTGTGAATTCTAGTTTTCCTTTAGGCAAGAAAGCTGGGTAAGGTGACTTTGGGCTTGCCTCTTTCTCTAAACCCACCCCACCCCACCCCACCCCACAAGATTGTTGTGGGGAAAATAGGCAAGAGTGTTAGGTATATTTGCTACCTAGATTTGGCAATAGATGTATAGATTTAAAATGTATTATTATACATAATGTGAAATCACAACTGCCAGTTGGCTTTCATTTGCATTGAGTTCTTCTCAAATACCTAGGATGTCGTAATGTATCAGCGAAATATATGTGCAGATTAAGCAGTGTGACTTTTTGTTACTGGCAAATGGAAATTTTGTCAATACACAGGTTTCCTAAATGCTATTTAAGGTTTAAATTGCCAGTTTATTATTATTATTGTTGTTGTTGTTGTTGTTGTTGTTGTTGTTGTTGTTGTTGTTATCTTTACAATTCATTATAATGTTTCTTTCCAGAGTACATTGTTCAAAATGAGAGTTTATAACAGTCCCTAGATTCAAGGCACCTGTTTCACTATCTGTGCTTTCCTGCCTATCATTCATGTTGTAGCCTTTATATGGGCTTGCTAGCTTTCCCTCTTAACAATAATTATACATTCCCCCTTCAATAATTACATATAATTATAACAATGAAAGATTATAATTTGTAATTTAAATTTCCCAAAAACAAAGCCTGAAATATGCCAGATAAATGAAAATATCCCCATTTTTCCTTAATAAGCATATATAAACACGGCCATTTCTCAAACACAGTAAAATCCCTTCACATTCTGTGAACAATGAGGCCCATTATACAGAATGTGCTATGCTTGAGAAAGCATTCTGTAGTCCTTGGCAGAGCTCTTCAGGCTGAGAATCACAAAGGATTTTGTGCTGCGTATAAATAGGGGGGAAGCGAAAGATGCAAACTATGCAATGTCTTGTTGTATCCCCCCCCCCCCCAAAAAAAGTGGTTTGTTCTTTCAGGCGCCACTGGGATGAAAGAGTTGGCTGTAGCCGTAAAAATGTGTGCTGGCACTCTTAAGGTTGCCATAGTGCTTGAGGAAAAGAGAAATACCAGGCTCTTTGGTCTGAAGGAAGGGGAAGACTGTAGCATGGAATTATGGACCAAGCTAGCTTAATGCTAGGGCTGCTTCGTTTCGCAGAGAAATGTCTTGGGAGCATAGCAACAACTATAATGGTTTATCATGGTCTGTGTAAAAGACAGGAGGACTTTGGATGTTTATGTGCATGGAGGGTATGTGCAAGAGGAGAAAGAAGCCCTCACCCAACCATCAGCAATGAAAATGATTATGTTTCCTTTGCATGAGAAACAGGGTGGTTCTAGATGTTCCGTGTCTGATAAAGAATGAAAATGGTTGCAAAAATGGTACAAAAATGTTAAATTGGAGGATGAATGAAAAGGCTTCAGAGTCATATAGTAATTTTTGAGAAAGAGATTCATTTATTATTGTGCAAATGCTTCTCATTTTTAAAAATATACATTCTAGGCTTCTTCAATGTTGTGATGTAATTTCTGCCAGTTTGAATTCAATGAATGAACTGATTCTTGTAGGACATAAGTGTAAGGCACAGTATGAGAGAGCTGTGTTAGAAAGAGATATGTTAGATTATAGTAGATCCCCATGTTCTAGGTTAGGAGAGGTCACAGATTCCTTTAGAGCATTGTGTGGATGTATGTGCTGTTGCCTGAGGTCATTCATTCCAATGTGTATGTATGTGTTCAGGAATGACTAAGAGCCAGGCTAAAGAATCTTTTAGCTGAAGAGTGATACACATAAAACGTTGATTTTACTACTTGGGTAAATAATTTACCCATCTTTCAGCGGAGCATGAAAAGTGTCACTAGGGATTGCAGCAATGAGGAAAAATTGGAGTAACTGATTCATGATCTTTTCAACAAGCAATTCCATTTGAGAAAATATCCTCTTAAAAATCTCAAAAATTTAAAGTGTTTGGCTAATAATCTCACTTACGGAAAAAGTAATGCCAATATACTGCATTAGTCTCCTTCATAAAAATACAAATGCATTTGTGTGGATGACATACTACCGTAAAATCAACCCTACAATAAACATTGTAGAGCTGATCTTAAAGATAACTTCAGTGCCTCTGGTTAAGAAGAATATTATACTGTTGGTTGTTCCCTAGAGATAGAGAAAAAAAATAGTTCAGCTTTTGAATTGGACTATTAGAAAGAGATCTAATAATGGCAAGATAATGGAGAAATATGAACATTTTTTCCATCTTTACTTCTGCTATACTGATTTGCAAAAAGCATACCCTTGGGCACGTAAGGAGACTCTGATGATAGAATGGAATTGCTGTGCTGTATTTTTATTTCTGTTTGCTTGAAAATATTTTTCCTAATAGATATACTGTTTATGTATTGCATGAATCTGTACGCAAGTTCAAATGACTACTGTATCTCTGTTTGTAAAATAACCTTGGATCTATTTAATTTCTGCCTGCACAATTACTATAGTTGGCATGCGTTTACAGGGGCATTTTTATGAACTGATTAGGGAATATTTGTGTGGACACATCTGCCTTCGCTCAGCTTGAAGTTTTTCAGTAAATACATGGACCATAATATGTAAAATCATCTTAATATGATAATGTTTTTGCTTTATGATGCAGAGTTTAAGATAGTTGTCTTAAATTTATATAAGTTCCTTGAAATTTAAAGCAGACATGTAAATTGCAAGCATTTTAAACTAACCATTATTGTTATTGGTGTTATGAGGACCCAGATTGTTGGGGACAATATGCTGACTCTGTAAACCGCTTAGAGAGGGCTGTAAAAACACTGTGAAGCGGTATATAAGTCTAAGTTCTATTGCTATTGCTATTGACGCAGATAGGAACTCTTTGTTTTTCTTTCCACATTTTTTTATTGTAAAGAGGCTCCTATTTCCTGTCATGTTTGGCTTGCAACCACTTTTTGACTACTGCTGATACTTCACTTAGCTTTCCTCCTTAGAATTTCAGCACTTCCACATATATTATTTGTTGTGAAAATAATGTCACAATTGCAATAAGAAGGCAGGAAACAAGACAGGGCACTAGTTGTGCAATTAATAACTGACAGGCCGTCCCAAATTGACAAAAAGGCTGATTTTAAAAGGCCACGCTTATGAGCAAAGGAAAAGGAAAGTGACTGAATGGATGTAAAACCAAAATGAGGGTGGTCAATGAACAGAGCTGATCTCTAGGTAAACATTATGACCTAAGGGTCAATTTCCTTCCTTGCTGAATATATAATATATATTTAGGTGGTCCTCAAGTTATGACCACAATTGAACCCCAAATGTGTGTTGCTAAGTGAAACATTTGTTAAGTGAGTTTGTCTCATTCTAATACTTTTTTTGCTACCGTTGTTAAGTGAATCATTGCATTTGTTAAATTAGTAACCCAGTTGTTAAGTGACTCTGGATTCCGCATTGACTTTGCTTGTCAGAAAGTCGCAAAAGCTGATCACATGACTCTGGGCTACTGTAACCATCATAAATATGACCCAGTTGCCAAGCATCTCAATTTTGATCATGTGACCATGGGAATGCTGCAATGGTCGTAAGTGTGAAAAATGGTCATAAGTCACTTTTTTCAGTGCCATTGTAACTTTGAATGGTCATTAAATGAACTGTTGTAAATCGAGGAGTGTGTGTGTGTGTGTGTGTGTGTGTGTGTGTGTGTCACACGAGCTGAAATCAACATGTTGGTTGTCATAGAGCTTCTTTTTATGAGCAGGTACTTGTCCCCATATAATTTAAATTATCCCCAAAGATATTTAAATTATCTTTAAAATTTTCATTACTTACCTAAGTGATAGATTCAGGAACCTTTCCCAAAGGGGTAAGTCTGCTGCCTGCTGATACTGATTGTATTGATAGGTGAAAAATCATGTCATAAATTGGTTTATAAGGCAGACAGAGGATTCTGTATTTTTCACAAAACAAAACAAAAATACTAAAGCTTTTGAGTCAGTTTTTTAATCTAGTGCTTTAATCCTTTTTTTTTAGTTTAGAATAAACATTATCTTTTGAAGGCCCCAAGAAATGCTTTGAATTATCTTAATATTAATGTTCTCTAACCTGTCATATTGCAGTCATGAAGAACACAGTAATGTTGTGCACTACCACATGATATGTCTCACAGCAACCACTCATCTAGAAATAACTCAATTTTAAGGATGTATCTTTAACAGCAAACTTTTTCCCCTATGCACCTTATTTTTACTTACCTTAAATAGTTTTAACATAGGGACTTCAATAAAGAAACAGGTTAATTAATTATATTTTATCATTTAGGTTTTTAAAATGGCTTAATAATGTTAATGATTTGACAAGATTAATGTAGCTTTTCTTGGCTGTCGCCCAACTTGTCTTGTTACTTGGGTGGTACCATCTGTTTCCATAGATTTGAAGCAGAGGAATCACAACTGTTTTGTTTTTATTTTTTTTCTCCGAAAATTATTGGAAGCTTTATGGTGTGCATTTTATAATTCACTGGACTATTTTATTATTCCCTTTAATAATAAGTTCACTATCTTTTCAGATAAACATAAGCCACATAGATAAATTATGAGATTTATTCTGGGGTTACTCAAGGATTTTAGACTCTTGTACTGCAGTGAGTCTGAACCCTTTACGCACGGGAGGAGAGAAAGTTGAACACCTTTCATATGCGCTGTCTCCGACATATTCTTGACATCACCTGGCAGGACCAAGTTCCAAATAGCGCAGTCTTGGAACGTGCTGGAATTTCTAGCATGTATACACTACTGAAACAGCGACGTCTATGCTGGCTAGGGCATGTCTTGAGAATGGTTGATGGTCGGATTCCGAAAGATCTCCTGTATGGAGAATTAGTGCAAGGAAAGCGCCTCAGAGGGAGACCACAGCTGCGATATAAGGATATCTGCAAGAGGGACCTAAAGGCCCTGGGAATGGGAATTAACAACTGGGAAACTTTGCTCTCCGATCGTTCAGCTTGGAGGCTAAAGATGCAGCATGGCCTTCTCCAATTTGAAGAGACACTTGCTCAGCAAGCTGAGGCAAAGAGGCAGTCCTGGAACCAGCGAAATCTGGGGGCTGGGCAGGGGGACAGAATGTATCTGCCCTCAGTGTGGAAGAGATTGCCACTCTTGAATTGGCCTTTTTAGTCACACTAGATGCTGTTTTAGGACCTCTTTCCAGAGGATGATACCATAGTCTTTTGAGACTGAAGGATGCCAATGAACTCCAGGATTTTATTGGCTCCATTTTTGTGAAAAGTTGGAAAAATCCAGATTTTTGCCTTTAGAATAACAGCATTTATGCATGACTTCTACTCAGCATTTCTACCACCATTGCAAATGGAGATGTTTAAAGATGCTTTGAATTTTTGTAACGTTTTGGAGGCAGTTAGCTGTCTCTGAAGGATTTCAGGGCAGAAAAATTTTGGGAGCTGGATAGCTATCCCAACTCATAATTGAAACTGTTTAACATCTTTTAACTGCTTTAAATACATACCTTCATAGTAAAGACTCTGAAAAAAATATGTTAAAAAAATTGTAAGATCTGGTTGCCAACATATATTCTGCTTGCCAATTTACAATCTGAAAATCTGGGTTGCAGTTCAGTTAAGATGAGAGTTATGAATGTCCCACAAGTATCATTTTTGGATGCATTTTAGACTTTGTTAGTTACTACATTATTTTTTGTTATGATATGACTCTTGAAAACATTACATGATCCATTGTTAATAATGCATATGCAGTTAGATCACTCCGAATACAACAGTAAATTAGTAATTGAGAAAATAGTATATTCTAAATTTATTGAGGAAATTCAGCCATTTAATTTATTATATTTTGTCTCTTTGCCAATTACTTTCATTCTGCCCTAATTTTATTCTGCCCAATCTATTTTATTTTCCCATGGTAAAGGAATTAAGCTTAAATTGATTTTTTTTAAAATTTGATTTATATGCCGCCCTTCTCCGGAGACTCAGGGCAGCTTACAATGCGTTAAGCAATAGCCTTCATACTTTTGTATATTTATACAAAGTCAGCTTATTGCCCCCACAAACTGGGTCCTCAATTTACCTACCTTAGAAAGGATGGAAGGCTGAGTCAACCTTGAGCCTGGGGAGATTCGAACTTGCAGTAATTGCAGGCAGCTGAATGTTAATAACAAGCTATTAGTCTGCTGCGCCACCAGGCTCTTATAATTTTGCATACCATCCACATTGCTTCATGGATAATATACAGTTACTACCTACCTCCTCCTCTCTCTCCTCATGTTTTTAGCCACTTGCTACCCACTAAATGTTTTAATTATGCCTTCTATTGATGCTCATTATGATGGCCATTGGTTATTGTTTATGAGAACTATAGGGAACCACATCCTGCTTTGACATGACGTTCAAGTATAAAAACTTATAGGAAAGAGATTGTGAGTTGAATCAGTGAGGAAAGTTCACTCTATGCCAAGAGAAGATAATGGGAAAGCAACATTTGCCAATTTCTGCCCTCATATCTTCCCATTCCAGAAGGTTGGGGTATTTTTTGAAATACCATGGGAAAGAGATACTAAATCCATGCGTCTCCATGGTGGGAGGAGAAGGATCACCATTTTAAAAATGGCAGATGCATTGCTTTGACCCATAGGTATAATGTTGACAGATACACATGGTAAATTAATATGGCTAGTCTAATGAAAAGAAGGATTAGGAGTGATATTATAGTAATGTTCCAATATCTAAGGGGCTCCCATGAAGAAGTGAGGTCAACCTATTCTCCAAAGCACCTGATGGCAGGACAAGAAGCAATGGATGGAAACTAATCAAGGAAAGAGCCAACTAGAATTAAGGAGAAATTTTCTGACAGTTAAGAACAATTAATCAATTCCTCCAAGTTATGGGGGTTTCACAACTGGAGAGTTTTAAGAAGAAGAGATTGGACAACCATTTGTCTGAAATGGTTTAGAGTCTCCTGATTGAGCAGGGGGTTAGATTAGAAGACTCCAAGGTTCCATCTGTTTTATTGTGTTAAATTGGTGGAGCTTGGGTCTCATATTATAATATGTTTTATAGGCCATTATTGAAAATAGTTATCACTTCCTTGAAGAAAGGAAGTGATAACAATTTTCAATAATGGCCTATAAAACATATTATAATATGAGACCCAAGCTCCACCAATTTAACACAATAAAACAAGGGACTACTATTATATATTACTGTATTGTAATATAGAGGTACTGGCTCTGAGGAATATCTGAACGTCTCTGCATCATTGTTCTTTTGTATTAAGTACTGCATGATAAGCACTTGTGGCCATCTCTCTTTTTCAATTCAGCCTTGTTAGAAGGCAAGATAATGTTTAGTTCATGGTGCCCTTCACAACAGGTCCACAGTTATTTGTGTGAAAACAATTAAATATGGGTTATTGTTACTACTGTTCCTACTTAATGCTTTTTAATGGCCTCTGTCTTATTATCCAGTGCCATTTTGAAGCTCATCAAGAGGAAGGGATGGTGATCTCTCATATGGCTGTTGCAGGAGTGGGGATCTGGATTGCCTTCACATCGGGATCTACTCTCCGTCTTTTCCACACTGAAACCCTTAAACATCTCCAGGATGTTAATGTGGCCACTCTTGCTCACAATATGTTATCAGGTACCATTATTTATTCATTACCAGATTGTTTGTTTGAACAAGTCTTGCTTTGTGCTCATGATGTTAAATCTGAAGGTTTAAACTTGAGGTTGTGCAACCTGATGCCCTGCCATTGGCACTTAATATCCAAAACCTATGGAAATCACCTAATAATCCAGTTTTGCTATCATTCACAAACGTGACTTGTCTTTTACTCATAACACTGGTCTGAATGGAAACCTTAAGGACCTGATTTCTGGAAGACAAGTGTTAACATAATTCTAAAAAACTGCTGGATGAATAAAATAGAAAATCAGAGGGAGCCAGTTTGGCTTAATGGTTAAGGCATTAGGCTAGTAACTGAGAGACTTTGAGTTCTAATCCCACTTTGTGTGGGCTGTAAACCACTGTGAAACGGTATATACTGTAAGTCTAAGTGCTATTGCTATTTAGACAGGAGGCCAGTTGGGTGATCTTAGCTCAGTCATTCTTTCTCAGCACTAGGAAAAAGGCAAGGGCAGATCATTTTTGAAAATCTTTCCAAGAAAACTGCAGGGGTTTCTCCAGTCTCCAAAGTCAATCTGCATGTTTACAAAGCCTCCCCCCCCGCCCCCCAGTCAGGCTGAGGAACACTTGTGACCGCAGGGCAAGTTAACTGCACTCTTTTAGAGAACCTATCTATTGTCAGTTCTTTGAAATTCTAATAGTAATTTTATTAACAGTACATTTTCTCCTCTCCTCTTCCGGTACTTTTAGAAGGCCTTAACTTTGGGGCTACCCAATAAACACACAAATCAGCCACTTGTTTCTGTATTCTCAGGAGTATTTTTTCAGTCTGTTGTTACTGTGCTAGAGGATTGAGTATTTTGCTTGTAAGAGGTAAACTGTGCCTGTGTGTGGTTTACAAATAAGGTATTCCTGTGTGTTATTTTTTTTTAAAAAGGCTATTTGGAAAATATCTAATCTTAGCTATTACTGCCACGGAAAGACAAGAAGAGAAATGTAAACTATGTTTTCCTGCTGAAGAACTTGAGATAAACATACACACACCATTACAATTACGCTTCAGCTGCTTCTACTTTATCTGAAATGTCCCCCCACCCACAATTCATGTAAGAAGCAATAGAGGTTTTTTTTACAGAGTAGCAAATATTATGTTGTAGCTAAGATTGATTTGATGCAGAGGCGGATTTCAGCAGATTCTGACCAGTTCTGGAGAACTGGTAGCAGAAATTTTGAGTAGTTCGGAGAACCGGTAGTAAAAATTCTGACTGGCCCCACCCCCATCTATTCTCTGCCTCCCAAGTCCCAGTTGATCAGGAGGAAATGGGGATTTTGCAATAACCTTCCCCTGGATTGGGGACGGAATAGAGATTTTATAGTATTCTTCCCCTGCCACGCCCACCAAGCCATGCCACACCCACCAAGCCACACCCACAGAACCAGTAGTAAAAAAATTTGAAACCCACCACTGGTTTGATGTGGAACAAGAAAAGGGGGGATTTGTTTAAATGTTCTTGGGTCATAGTAAAAGCTGGAAAAAGTTGAAAACAAAACAGCAAATGCATTGATCTGTAGGTAATAGACTTCTGAAAAGCAGAAAGTAAGCAATAGAATAAAAGGAGTGTGCTTTTTAATGCATTAACACTCGTGGCTGTATTGCTGTATATTTTACTTGCCCATTTCTTCAGGTTCAAACTATTCTGGTATGGAAAGGTTTCCTTCATAAAGAGTAGAATCTAGCACATTTATACATACAAGTATCTGTTTCCAAAATTAAAAAGCAAGTCTACATTCTGTAACTAACTATACTGAACATGCAGAAGGCAAGCTGTTGCTAGGTGGGCATTGCTAGAAGTAGATCCATTTCCTGGATCATTATTTAAAAATCACTGGGCTAGAAGGCATAAAAGCTATTGTAAATAACTGCTTAGTATTTACATGTTATGTCTGAAGACATTCTTCTGTAGTCCCTTTTTATATATGAACAGGCAGGCATGAAGGTTTAGATTTCATGAATTCCTCATCACTATAGTTGGCTCCAAAAGTCACGGTAAGTTCTTTTTCACTTTCAGAACATCTGGAACTAGAGATATAATCTCTAGTTAAATCTTAGTTTTAGAATTAAGTTTCTTAATTCTATAATTCTCACCAACTGCAGGTAGTTGTTGACTTACGAGACTGGAATTTATGTAGTACTTGTAAAGTGTGAATGCAGCAATGGCAGTCCCTATAGTCCTGCTTGCTGTTGTTAACCAAACCATACAGCCATAAGACAAAGCGACTTCCCTCCAGCTTCCTGCAATTGTGTCAGTGGGAAAGCTGGCAGAAAGTCTCTGGTACTGAGCAAGCAGGCCGGCAGATAGGTGCCTGGCTCCTGCCAGGTTGGGGAGTGTATGAGAGTGGGAGGGAGATATGGCAAGGGTGGGAGATGCATGGGGATATGTGAGGGTGTGTGAGAAGCACAACAAAATTTGGGGAAGTGTGAGAGGATGCACAAAAATGCAAGAGAGGCAGAGCAAGGCTCAAGGAGAGTGTAAGATGTGAGAGAGATGTGACAAGGGACAGCAGGGGTGTAACAGAGGTATGAGGCTTGAGGAGGGTACATGAGAGTGCACTGGGGTGCAGGGGACACATGACAAGGTTTAGGAGGATTTGCAGGGGTGCAAGGGAAGTGCAGCAAGCCTTGACAGGATGCAAGGGAGGCACAGTGGGAGTCAGGAGAGTGTGTATGGGTGTGTCAGAGATGTGCGGGAAGGCTTGGCGTGGGTGAATGGGGGTGCATAAATGACCACCATGGCATGAGCCCAGAGAAGCTGACGGAGGATGTATTGGTAGGGAAGACTTACCCCACTGACTTTTGAGCTTCCAAGCCAGCTACCTTATTGACTTTTTGGGGAAGGCAGCAGGGAAGGTTATGAATAGCAATCACATGATTAGTGTTGCAACCGGTTGCAAGTACGAGCCAGTTGCCAAGCCTCTAGATTGTGATCCTGTGACTGCAGGGGTGCTGGAGTGGCCAGAACTCCAAAGGCTGGTCATAACCACTCTTCATTCAGCACCATCATAATTCTGAATGGTCACTAAATGAATGGTCATAACAGGAGGATTCATCATCCTATACCCATGATGGCGAACCTATGGCATGTGTGCCAGAGATGGCACGCAGAGTCCTCTCTGGGCATGCAAGCCGTTACCCCAGTTCAGCTCCGCCACGCATGCACATGAGCCTCCTGCCGGCCAACTGATCTTTGAGTCTCTGCGTGGGGGCAGGACGCATGAGGGGGGCCACGCGTGTGGGGGGGGACATGCGCTGGAGTGGGGGGCATGTGGGGTGGGGGGCATGTGACGGATATGCAAGTGGGTGGGTCGTATGCATGGGGGCTGCACGCGTATTGCATTTTGCAGGTTTGGGCGTGCACGTGCACATCCGCGCTTTGGCCATTCAGTCCACAAAAGGTTAGCCATCACTGTCCTATACCATAAGGAAAAAATACTTTATAGTAGGCTCCGATAAAGGCACTTTTGGTTGTTGGTTATGATTGATTATATGCCATTAAGTCATTGCTGACCTTTAATGACCATACAGATTTTTATCTATGACAATCTGCCTCTTAGCTTGTCTTTCAGGACTTCCAATGGTGCCTTTATTACCATTGTAACTGAATCCATCCACCTTGCTACTAATTATCCTCTTATATTTTAAAAACACATAAATACAACCCAGATTAATTAATTTTCCCAGGCACAGCAGTAGAGTAAAACACCTGCCTAACATCATCTTAAAATATGCTAAGAAAAGTCGCCCTTAAATGATAACATGCAATTTGAGCACCTTTAAATAAAATATGCTTTCAGATCATTCCTGCTCCTAAGATGAAATCAATCTATCAGATAGAGAACATACTGTGCATTCATCTAAAACACACATTCAGTTTGTATATCACACCCACAACTTTCTCATCTTGTAAGTAATTATATGTCAACTTACTGGGAAATCTGAAGTGCTTTCTCATCCAGAAAATTTCACAACAGGTGCCAATGGTGGCATCTTTTAAATGCCGTGTGCTCTCTGTGCTTATGTATCTGGAGTGTGAGCCAATTGTGATGTTTTAACTTTTTAATTTTTCAAATGGTAAAATGATTTGTTTGGTTTTTTGATTGCTTGTGCATTGCTTTGAGATGGTAATTCAAGAGTTTGTCAACACAGAAAGTATAATATCCATATACCTACATGTTCCACAAATAATGATTTCAGACACCCAAAATATATGGCTATAATCTCATGATATGTGGATTCTTATGCAAGTATGCTTTTATATTGAGAGATTTACCTTGATAATCTGTATGTTTCATATAGATTTATTTTTAATTTGGAGTGGAGTTGCCTACATTGCATAACAGGAGTGCAAGCTTTTGGGGGGGGGGGTATGTGTCACAATTTTGAAAAGTCACTAAGCGACTGGTTGTCTTTAAAGGCACCACCTTAAATTGAATCCAGAAGTAAACTGGATATTTTAAGCCTTTTTAAGTATAACCTGGAGCAAGTGGTCCAGCTTGTTTAGCTTGTAAATATTTATAGGTGCTGGGAAAAAAACTTAAAGCCCAATAAATAATTAGAACAATGGGAGCTCTTCAGTTTTGTAAACATCCTATGTGCAGTCCTATGAGAAAGGGGTGACTGCAGTAAACCTAGATTTGTTTCAATAAAAAGATACGTGTTGTTGAGGATTCTCTTCCTCAGACAAAGAAACAGCGTAATTTCCTTGCGATGAAGCAATTCACAGCACCTTCATCGTTTCAGGCCAGTCCTGCAAGACAAAGCTTCTCCTTAGCCTTTGTTCTCTAAGGCTGTCTGAAGTGTTTCTATGCTGGTAGCTATCAGTGCATGCTCTGGGGTACAGAATGCATTGAAACTATCTGGCATGGAAGACTTTAGGTATATGCTAAGAGTGCTCCAGGCTGACCAGCTTCAGCTTTCCTGCAACATTTGTTGAAGAGACAACACACTTTGCTTTGCT